TGCACTAAGCAATCTTTAGAACATCTTAAATTCATTAAGAATAAAGCAGTTAAAAAGCTGTAACATTAATGAATAATTTGATTCTTCAAGTAATAGAAAAAATTTACCGGTATTGTACGTAAGAACACAGGTTTTATCATTGCAATATAAGGGGAAATTGTCTTTCATTTACCTCTTAAATACCCAGTGAGAAGCAAAGATGCAAAACAAATCTTTACCCGGTTTTATAACAATTATGTGCATCATGTTGAAGTGTACTTCAACACCAAGTTACAAAGGATTAAGTTATTCCTTTTTACAGGAGAAATCATGTAATATAACTTTCTGACAGGATACTGGCAAGATTGAAGCAAACTTAAAATATAAAACAATTTCTATCTCTCCAACAAACAAATATTTTTTCAGGCATTTATTTTGCTAATAAACTTGATACAGTACTTGCAAAGAAAGCTTTGTACCTCAGTTTTCCCTAACTTCATTTTTTCCCCCATCTCTTCTACTCAGAAACTGAAAAGATGCACCTCCTCTTGCCCTAAAAATAACTAAATATAAGGCGAGCACTGCTTTTGAAAATAAAAGAAGATATAACCAGCTATCAAATCCAAGAATGTGTTCTATTTAATCTAAAAAAATAATCTATTAACTGACAGAAAAGTTCACAGAAAATTCATACTGGCAAGTTCTAATTGGGTCTTTTATTAAGCTTTTTCCTGACTGACACGACAACTAAATCACTCCTTCTGACAGCGCGCATTGAAACAATAGAATAAAAGCATGACATTTGAAAGGATTCATGCACAGTTTGGGATTTGGTGTCAGGATACAATGATCCACTTATAAAAAAAGAAAACTTTCTCAGTTTTCTTGCAGTGTTTCCACAGAATAGTATTATTTTTATAATACTATAAATAATATTTCTAAGATACACTCTGGCAGTATGTATGCACTGCCATGCAAAAGTATTCATTCATAACCCTGGAAGTGTGTTGTGAAGTTTGTAGAGAACATTAGTGAACAAACAGCATCCAAATAGGCCAAAGTTTAAATTGTAAGGGAGTTTAAAACAATATCCTAAAATTAAAGACTTCTATAGCCAATCTTCAACATCTATCATCTAAAAACACATGAGAGGGTTTTGTTGTTTTTTTGGATGTGTTATGTGTATGTAGCCTACGTGTACATCCTTAGCTGGTATTTGTTTGTTACTTGTATTTATTCTAATTGCAGCTACTACTATGCACTACGCACTTTTGAGTCCATTACAAATTTCCCCTAGGGAACAATAGAGTCTATTCTATTCTAATTAAAGGCCTATACTATAAGGAAAGTAAAACATATGGGCTAAAACATAAAATGTATAGGATTTATCTTTTCTGTCTGTCTACTTTTAAGATTGCTGCATTATACTACATATAGGGCCGGATCTATCAAAGGTTTGCGTGTAAAAAAACGTGAGCTATTTCACTGCGCACGCTAAAAAATGTACAAACTGATCTATCAACAGCGTGCTAAAAGGATTTGGTCTTTAAAACATGCTAAATAGCGCCTCTTATCCATTTAGTACTTTTTCTGCAATGAATATGCAATATGGGGCGTTTACACGCAAAAGTGCGTCTTGTGGGAGGAGAACATGTAAATGTATTAATTTAGCACTCGCAAAGTGATTTATTAAACCTGAAAGCAATTTTGCTAACGGTATCTGACTCTATATTTAACACGTTTCAAAAGAAGGTGCAAATGGTCTGTATGCGTAATTGCGCACACATGGCAGCGGTTATTGTCGCAAGAAGGAGACATCGAAATGAAGCAAGGAGATGCAGAGAACGCATTTTTTCACTCTGTGTGAATATTTTTGGAATGAACGAGGAAACGATCATCAAAACATATCGTTTATCCAGCATTGCCATTTTGGAGCTGTTGGGGGAACTCCGAATGGATTTGGAGCCAGCCACAAGGAGGACCCACGCAATACCAGATATCACAAAACTCCTTGCAACATTGCACTTTTTTGCATCTGGGTCATTCCAGCGTACGGTTGCAGCGAGAGCTGGAATCTCCCAATCTCGTTTTTCAGAAGTGCTGTCCGACGTTTTAAATGCCATGTCGCCCTGACGCCCTACCGGAGAACCCTGACCTCCCCTCTGCGCCTGTGGAGCAACATGCCAATGCTGCAGGGATGCGTACGCGCAGTAATCTCATCCACAGTCACTTCTTGTGAGCCATTTGGTATGTGAGCCATTTGGTATATTGTTTTTTTTTTTTTTTTTTTTACTAGAAATTCAGCCACATACCACCTTAGGGAATAAAGGTTCCCAAAGTTTGTTCTTTGTATATATATATATATATATATATATATATATATATATATATATATATAAATATATATACACTATATTGCCAAAAGTATTTGCTCACCTGCCTTGACTCACATATGAGCTTAAGTGACATCCCGTTCCTAATCCATAGGGTTCAATATGACGTCGGTCCACCCTTTGCAGCTAGAACAGCTTCAACTCTTCTGGGAAGGCTGTCCACAAGGTTTAGGAGTGTGTTTATGGGAATTTTTGACCATTCTTCCAGAAGCGCATTTGTGAGGTCGCACACTGATGTTGGACGAGAAGGCCTGGCTCTCAGTCTCCGCTCTAATTCATCCCAAAGGTGTTCTATCGGGTTGAGGTCAGGACTCTGTGCAGGCCAGTCAAGTTCATCCACACCAGACTCTGTCATCCATGTCTTTATGGACCTTGCTTTGTGCACTGGTGCACAGTCATGTTGGAAGAGGAAGGGGCCAGCTCCAAACTGTTCCCACAAAGTTGGGAGCATGGAATTGTCCAAAATGTCTTGGTATGCTGAAGCATTCAGAGTTCCTTTCACTGGAACTAAGGGGGCAAGCCCAGCTCCTGAAAAACAACCCCACACCATAATCCCCCCTCCACCAAACTTTACACTTGGCACAATGCAGTCAGACAAGTACCGTTCTCCTGGCAACCGCCAAACCCAGACCCGTCCATCAGATTGCCAGATGGAGAAGCGCGATTCGTCACTCCAGAGAACGCGTCTCCACTGCTCTAGAGTCCAGTGGCGGCGTGCTTTACACCACCGCATCCGACGCTTTGCATTGCACTTGGTGATGTATGGCTTGGATGCAGCTGCTCGACCATGGAAACCCATTCCATGAAGCTCTCTGCGCACTGTTCTTGAGCTAATCTGAAGGCCACATGAAGTTTGGAGGTCTGTAGTGATTGACTCTGCAGAAAGTTGGCGACCTCTTCGCACTATGCGCGTCAGCATCCGCTGACCCCGCTCCGTCAGTTTACGTGGCCTACCACTTCGTGGCTGAGTTGCTGTCGTTCCCAAACACTTCCATTTTCTTATAATACAGCTGACAGTTGACTGTGGAATATTTAGGAGCGAGGAAATTTCACGACTGGATTTGTTGCACAGGTGGCATCCTATCACAGTTCCACGCTGGAATTCACTGAGCTCCTGAGAGCGACCCATTCTTTCACAAATGTTTGTAAAAACAGTCTGCATGCCTAGGTGCTTGAATTTATACACCTGTGGCCATGGAAGTGATTGGAACACCTGATTCCAATAATTTGGATGGGTGAGCAAATACTTTTGGCAATATAGTGTATATATATATATATATATATACAAACTACAAACTACTTTGCCGCAAACCACAAAAAGCGCAAAACCATAATTTAAATAGGGCGTCTCCAACAGTTTTGCAACTGCCACCAGTTACGCAATCGCTCTTGTTAAATCACCCGCAAACCTTGGTTCAGCCGCTTGCGCAAAATTCCAGTTTGCGAGCGCAAATTACTGCACGCAAAATTGGATCTTGATAAATCCGGCCCATAGAGTGCTAACAGTAAATGTATACGACCTAAATTAGATATGCAATCTTATGGTAAATTGAGTTAATTTAACAAAGAAAGTGGAAGTTTTTTTTTTTTTTTTTTGCAAAGTTATTTGGGATTCTGACAACTGTTAAAGATGCTAAACCAATAAATGTTACTCACTTGCTTACAAAGAGAAGTGGATCAGAATTGATTAATCTAATATATGAGTAAATCAAATGTTTTTTTGACAAATATGATTTTCATTTTTGTCTTTTCACATGACTTTACTTAGAAATAGCCATGATGATCCAGAGAATGCATGGCTCAGTGAAATGTCACAGTGGATCAGATCGCTCATCACATGTCCACACATGGCAGACCTAACTTTATGCAAAAATACAAAAAAGAATCACACACAAAACTTCCAACACCAGTGATATTACAAAGTAATAGGCCTCAGGTTTAAACAGTCTAAGCTTTATGCGTGCTTTACACAACTAAGTTTTTCACCTGATGTTTAGGATTTTTTTTTCATGTGATCTTAGTGTAATAAAGAATTTTGTAAATAATGTTGTTTTGCTCAACCAAGGTTTTGCTTTAAGGTAGAGATGTCTATCATATCAATGTGTTTTTTTGCACCATGTTTTTTTCTACCACAATTTCCCCTATTTTGACCATAGAACTTAAAAAGAAAACATATGCTGCAGGTACTATAATAGAAATGATAGTTTTGAGTACAAAGGAGAATAAAGTGGAGGAAAGTTTTTTTTTTTGCATTTGTTCAACAGATAAGCTTCACTTGAAGTTTAATAAAATGGAATAACAGTGCATCAAAGTAAAAAATGTTGCTTATTTTTAAAATTAGCACTATTAAACTTTAGACGGATTTCCTGGAAGCAAAGGTAAAGAGATTTTTGATTTTTTTTCTCTTCAATAATCAGGGTAAAGGCAGGGAAAACTAGCTGACTGACTGGTGCATTTCTATATCAAGTAATTCAACAACTTAGAGTTGGGTAATTTAGAAAATACAACTCTAGCTTTGAAAAAATACACTATTTTTCCTAATGATGGTATAAGCAGTATTAAAATACAAAGAATTTCACCTATGTGGGACAATAATGTGAGCTGTGGAAAATATAGTTCATACTTTACCTGATCTGCCCCAAAAGGAGTGATGTTGGACTTCACAGAACCAACACCAAGTGCAATAAAAAGCAGTCCAATGTAGATTACTGAGCCACAATATGGACTGCGCCATGAGCAAGTTACATTTTTTGGAGCGGTGCTGTTAAGACATTCAGCCGGTTGCACGGGAAACGCCGTCTCTTCTCCACATAAATGTGTCCTTGTTTCAGCTTTTGAAATAAAAGGGAAAAATAGCATTCCGATAAAATACAGAATTAAACTTGCAGCAATAGTCCAGAATTTCCCAACATATGCATCTGCCAGCCAGCCACCAAACGGTGAAATCAGGTAAGTAATTCCCATGAAGGTCAGAAGTGCCTGACTGGCCTCAGTGCCCTCCCAGTAAAAAGGACTGTTGTTGAGAAAAAGTACCAGATTGGCTGTAATGCCGTAGAATGCCACCCTTTCTAATGATTCAGCAAGCAGGATGGCAGCACATGCTAGCCTCCTTCCCTGGAACACTGATGGTGCTGAAGCTCGGTTTCCTGAATCCAGAAGCGGGCTGCTCTCATTGGCCTCCCTGTTCTCATCCATTTTCAGCAGAGCTGATGGAAACAAAACCAGCCCTGGAAGTAAGTCAAGCCCTGGAAAAATATAAGCAGAATTCAATAATGGTCAGTATTTCTTAGAATAGTGAAGAGTTAAACAAAATGTGATGTGTATTCTTCATTTATATTCTTCTGTTATTTTATATTATATACTTATACATACATTATATATTCTCTCCAGAGATCTTTTAGAGACCGTAACCCATGCCTTTATCACTACCCGGCTGGATTACTGTAACGCGCCTTATTTGGGGGTTAGTGCTTCCAACATCGCTAAACTCCAGAGAGTGCAAAACACTGCTATATTGTCTTTTACCTGCCACTCGTAAATATGAGCACATTACCCCAATTTTAGCCTCATTACACTGCCTTGTTTTTGCTTAGAAACATGCAAACTGACCTTTAGAATGACGACCCCCATTCTGACCTGCTCGTCCGATTCAATTTGCATGTTTCTAAGCAAAAACAAGGCTTTGTTTTTTGGTCCACTCTATAAAGCCTCAAACTCAATGCGAATCCTGACATTTGAATTGAGAAAGCTTCCTGGATGGGGAGCGAAACGTCTTCAAACTTGGAAACAAAGTCCAGTGGATTGTTTTTTAATTTTTTTTGGAGTCTCTCCATGGTCTTGCTCCATCTTATCTTTCTGAGTTGCTGCACCTTCATGCACCGGTCAGCCGATCAGCTGCTTCTTGAGGTGCCAAAAACTAAACGGAAGCTTAGGGTCGATCGTCGTTTCTCTGTGGCAGCTCCAAAAATGTGGAACGACCTTCCATTGCAAATTAAATTGTCTACTTCTTTGTCTGATTTTAAATCTCTCTTAAAAACTCATCCCTTTGCCTTGGCTTTCTAAACTGTGTGAGATGTTGATTTTAGTCTGTGATACATTAGATTAAATTACTTTTGTTTTTATTTTATTATAGATTTTAAAGTTCTGATTTTGTCTTTCATGCTTTTATGGTTCTTTGAGTCTTTATAAAGGTGTTATGTTGTTTTACTATACAGCAATTTTGGTACTTTAAGAAATTAAAAATAAAGTTGGATTGGATTGAATTGGATATACACTTTCTAAGGTCCACATTTGCTATAATCCTTTGCTGCTGTAACACCACAATTTCCCTATTGCTAGACAATAAAGGGATTTTCTATTCTATTCTATTCTATTCTCATCCATCCATCCATCCATCTTCTTTCATTTATCCGGGGTCGGGTCGCTGGGGTAGCAGCTTCAGTAGAGAGGCCCAGACGTCCCTCTCCCAAGCCACTTGGGCCAGCTCCTCCGGGGGGAATCCCAAGGAGCACCCAGGCCAGCTGGGAAACATAGTCCCCCCAGCGTGTCCTGGGTCTCCCTCTGGGTCTCCTGGTGGGACATGCCTGGAACACCTCACCAGGGAGACGTCCAGGAGGCATCCTAACTTGGGCTGCCACCATATCATGGTGGAGGGGTTTGATTGTCCCAATAACCTTAGGAGCTATGCTGTCTGGGGGCTTTATGCCCCCTAGTAGGGTCACCCAAGGCAGACAGGTCCTAGGTGAAGGACCAGACAAAGAGCAGCCTAAATACATCTAATGATGAATAAAAAAAATGGACCTAGTGTTCCCTCGCCCGGATAAGGGTCATTGGGGCCTTACTCTGGAGCCAGGCCTGGAGGTGGGGCACGCTGGCCAGCGCCGTGTGGCCAAAGCCCAAAGAGGAAACAGGGGTCCCCCTTCCAATGGGCTCACCACCTGTATGAGGGACCAAAGGGGTCAGAGCAATGTGTGATGGGTGGCAGTCGAGGGCCGGGGCCCTAAGCGTTCTGATCCTCGGCTAAGGAAGCTATTCTATTCTATTCTATTCTATTCTATTCTATTCTATTCTATTCTATTCTATTCTATTCTATTCTATGTTACCCAGGTAGACATGTTTACATTCCATAAGTGATATATTTATAAAATGACTCAAAATTTTAAATACATTCCACATATTACAAAATCGTATAAAAGTTGAAACCAACCAAAGCAATGACATTTTAAAATTAAAGATTCTGGGGACCTGGTGGCTCAGTTTGTGTCCACTTGCAAAAATATGTGATCCAAAACAACAGATTAACATATTCACGACGACCTAACTTAAATTAAGTTAGGTTAATTAAGTTAGGACCTAACTTACATTAAGTTTATTGTTTCTTTTTTGGACATTACCATAAAACTTTTAGCAACCGTTTTCTAAAGATATTTTACCCTGTCTTTGTCACATGCATAAACACGAATAACTTACTTGCTTTTAAGTACTTTTGTTAGACTAATTTATCCCAGATATCTCCCCAGCAATGAGGCAAACATTTAAGCATAATAATAACATTTAGCAACATGAGGTATCTTCCAAAATAAAGCAACTGTTAATGCGTACTGTAAATACGTAAGCGTGTTGTTTTACATTACCTTGAATTAATTAAACTCTTTTCTTCGTCACTCCAGTTAAAGTTATCCGCTCAAGCGTTTAGTTTCTCCTGTTAGAAGCAAATACTTTAGCAAATGAGAAGTGGAGCCTAACAACAACAGTGTCACAGTCCTGTCCCGTGACACAGCGCTCATTACAAGCAGCAACACTCAGGTTCCATGGAAACCGATCATTAAATGAAGCCAGAAGGGATGGTCCATTCAAAAAGGGTTCGACAGGCACATCCCTATGAGTTGGAAGTCTGGAGATTTAGCGCATGCGGCGTACTGCCGCTAAGAGGAAGTGCTTTGCTGCGGTTTTAACTTTTTTTTTTCTTGAAGTTGTTCGAGTTATGAATATTGGCCTGTATATCTGGACGAGTCATGAATATTGGCCATGACAAAAAAAATAATGCCTACATAATGGTAGAGTTCTGCTCTTCTTCTTACCGGCATTTGTTTCCGGGGGACGATATCAGAGACGGACTTGTAAACATTTGAAGCGTGTTTCGCTGCAACCTGGATGAGAAACATGTTCTATTAGCTTTTACCCTACGTGCACTTTACGGGAATGCATCCAGGAAATGTAATCGTACCCGGAGAGCTGAAACTCAGAGGTGTTGCCTGCTGTGTCATTTACTAGCTACAGAGGAGATATGAAATTACTATTTTTAGCCTGCCTAAGCCCCAAAACAGGGAACTTCACGACAGCTGAGAGAATAAGGTGATCATTAACGAGTTTGATTTGCTGGGGATTATCGATCTGATGCTACCTCATTTAAATCTGCCGTCGGTTATGTGAAGGAGCTTGTCTTGTGGTTATTCCCTCCTTAAATGCAAAGCAGTTGTGATTAACCATCCGTAAACTAATGATGCCATCCGTCAAAGTGGCTTTATGGCCGCTGTTACTTTCAAACCTGTGACAGCGAAAGTACTCACATCCTTTATTTGAGCGAAACTGTGTTTGGATTTGTTCTGTAGAACTACGTGCTTTGAAATGTCATCTGACTGAATTCCCTTAATTATTGTACTAAAACCTCATAAGGTATTGGAAGCCCTGAATGCAAAACAGTGACACTTACATAACCTAATAAGGACCTATTGCCATGTGTGATTAGGTCGTTTGCAATGGTTTTTGTAGGTGTGGCAATTGAGCAGTATATTATTTGCATTACAAATTATATCAACTGATTAATCATTAGACAATAAGTACATTGTTTGATAAAAATAATAATACATTTTATCTGTAATGCACTTCACATTTTGGAAAAATCTCAGATTGCTGCAGGTAAAATCATCATAGAAAGGTAAAAGCAAAAAAAATTAAAAACTAAACATCATTGTAAAACATATATAAATACAATGGAGACTTTTAACCAGTGCAGTTAGTACTTGTAGAACATTTCACAATAAACACAAAATAATATTTCATTTTAAACTATGCTGTAAACCTATCATTATTGTTGTATTTATTTTGTCTCTTCCTTATTTATCCTTCCTGCATCATTCTGTCATGCTGGTTGATAAATAAACCTTAAAATTTGATTGGTTAGTTTAACTGCAGGCCAGTGACATTTTCTGTCAAAAACACAAACATTAATTACTTGGAGAGTTATATGTACTCTAAATATTTTAAATAGATTTCACATTAAATTTTTATTCACTAGTGTTTTTGTTGTGTAGAAATGAAGATATACTAGACAGTCTGCTGTTATATTGTTTATTAAATTGCAGTGGTTTTGGGCCTTGTTATGAATTAGGACTGTGCTGATTCTCAAGTATAATCACATTTGTACAAAACATAGTTTTTGAATCACAGAGGCATTTATAACAATAGTAAGATAATGACTTCTTAACTCTAGCCGTTTTGGTGTTAATAATGCACGGCACTTAGAATGGGTTGGGGGACGTTGCAGCTGAAGTGCAGATTTAAACATGTTTCGATGCGACAGTAAAAATAAAATCCTATGACGATGCTCTCTGGAGTTTAAATCTAAATAGACCTTAGGAGGGAAACATATTAAAGCTTATATTATGTGCCGAGGTCAATCATAATAAAATTTCATTTTTTGGTTAAAAAGAAAAATAGAATTTTTATTTTTAGCAGGATTACACAACTGTAATATAAAGATTTTATTTTATTTTTTTTAGTTCAATAACAGCATAAGAATGTAAACTATTATTGATTGATTGACTTTATCGATCTCACAGTGGAGAAATGTACTCGTTACATCAACTCAAATAGAGAAGAAGAATGTATCATAGGTATCAAATAGTAAATTGCACATTATAGATTGCACAAGTTTTTGCCGTTGTAGTGTCGCAATGTAGTCTGGCTACAGCAGGGATGAATGACCTGTGGTAGCGCTCCTTTTTACAAACAGGGTGTAAAAGTCTCTCACTAAAGGAGCTGCTCAGCTCCTTTACAGTTTGGTTTTCCATGATGGATGTAAGCTTAGACAGCAGCCTCCTCTCAGCCACTTCCTCCACTCCAGCCCAGAGCGCAGCCTGGGACAGAAACAGCCTTTCTCACTAGTTTGTTCAGTCTCTTTAAAATAAAATAAAGAAGACTGAAGAAACATCAACATTTGAAATGCCAATAAGAAAAAAACTTACAATGTTTATTGGTAACCATGCTCATAAACAAAACTGTCAGACAAATCCATGAAAATATTACTAATGAAGACAATGGGCATATTAGTAAATGAGATTTGATGTTGTTTCTGTAGCCTGCTTGTTTGTGTTATAGCTAAAGAATTAACAACTTTTCCTGTGGCTTTTAAACTATTTTAAACCACAAAATACATTTCTACAGAAGGACTAAAATAATAAATAAAAATAGGTATTGGTAATTGGCTGGCAACAGCTCTTGCTAAAAAGTTCTCTTTATTTTATTATCTTACATTTTGTGTGAAAATAAAACGACAACAAAAAATCAAAGACGCGTAGAAATTCGGTAGTGTTGCATTACACCTACTACTGTACATCCAAACATGCTGTTGCAGGTAATGGAAAGAAAGGGAATTCATACAATATGCAATTTTTAAAAAGTCTTGCTAAAATATGCCAAAACCCCTTTTTTTTTTACATGTATTTCTGTTTTTATATTTTGAGTCTTTTTAGATATGATTAATAAGAATGAAATTGTTGCTTTATTGTGAATGATGTACTTCTATGATCATGTCTTAAACTCAGGCTAAATAGTGACTCCCACATATTATTCGACTGAAATTTGACCCTCTTTAAATTAGTTAACTGTTAAATGGTATATGAAGTGAACAATTTAACAAAAAAGGATATTATAACACCAAACTAGGACTGAAAGTTCTCCTTACCCGCATGTTTTTTTTTGCGTGTGTGTTTGTGTGTGAAAGATCTCACATTGAATCAGCAGGACACATCTGTGAACTACGAGACGTCGCAGATTTTCAGTCTCCGTCTGACGTGGCGCATCTACTGTCCCAGAACCCTCCATTTGAGGGGGCGCTGGCCATTCATCTTTTCAAAGCGGGCAGACTTCTCCTGGGTAAAGACTTTTGCATCAATGATCCAATCTTACTTTGATGTTTATCTGAAAAACTCAATGGGAGTTACACTTCTTATAAAATGTCTTTGTATTTTTTTTCCTTTGAACCAGACATCCATTTACCCTTCGGGGTGGTTTTTGGGGGAACAGACATAAATGAAGATGTGAAAGATGAGCAGAAGCATGTGGTTATGGAGCAGGTGCTGCTGAAAGCCAGGTGATCTTACTGCTAACCGCAATTTAAAAAAGCTTGGTTCCACAAGAACTGCAGTACTTGTAGTCCAGTCAGAGTTTTATATGAACCTCTATTTGCTTTAGCACTGTTTTTATCAGTCAGACCTCTGTCTTTAGCTTAATGTAACTTAATGTAACTTAAAGGTACACTATGCAACCGGTGTTGATTTTCCAGCGAGGCTCCCCCCAGAGGGCGAAAGTAAAAGTGCACTGTCGTAAATATGCACAGCTGTTCTCCTGGTTTCTCCGTCAAGCCAGGCGCGGTTGTTTTGAGCTTAGCAGACAGGCGAACGCAACAAATGACTAATGCTGCGTTCACACCGCAGCTGGCGCGACAGAAGCAGCGAGTTTACTTGCAACGTAACGTCAAGGCGCAGCAAAAGGTCCCGCGGCGCGTTTTGAGCAGCAGCCCCAGCACGTCTGAGCAGCTGAAGCAGCGCATCGGGCGCGTTTAAGCATCTGACGCAGGGAGAGAGACACAACGCTGATGATCACTCCTCTTAAACAGTTTATTGACGCCTAAATTAACTTAAAATGCAGAAATCTGCCGGCAGAATATGCAGTTTGGATTATTTAGATGAAAAACACCTACCAGCTGCCGTGGTGAACCGCGAGGAGGCGACTAGGCCAGAGGCTGCTGATGAAGGGATCCCTACTGTCGGCGCACCGCTGGTATGTGGGGGTCTGAGCGGCTCCGACAGAAAAAATATTGAAGGCAGGATAATAATCTGAATGAACTGACGGCACTGATTACGTTTTCAGGTGTATTTTCTCACTTAAAAACATATTAAAACTACTTTATTCCCACTGATCACAGCAAATATAGCTGCAAGGCAGAGAAAGGATAGTGAAGCTCCGCCCAAAGCGCGTCAGACACACTTTTGCACCGCGCAGGCAGAGCAGCAAAGCTGCTTCAGCCGCGCGTCAGAACTAACTGGTACAAGCAGTAAAAATGAAGCAGCAGACCCGATTTTGCTGCGTCCGATGTGAACGTAGCATAACTGCACAAAGATCGCCACTGTGCTAGCAACGAGAATGCTTTTAACTGGGGGCGTGTAGCAGTTCTCGCCGTAAAGCAAGACTGACTCTCACGAGACTTCTGAGCCTGTGCGGGTCGGTGCTCCTGCAAATGCAAGTGCAGTATTTCCCCCACAGACCACCAGGGCGGCCGAGAATACCTTTGTTCAACCTGAAATGAATCATTTAATCATCCATAACGTTATGGAACACATTAATTAACTGAAAAATGTTGCATAGTGTGCCTTTAACATGTTTTTCTCACACCCCCTTTTTTTTTTAGCTGGCAACATCTTGAAGTGCGAACAGGAAGCAAACGCTACTCTTATGATTTTAAATCAACATCTAACAACATTCAATCGTGTGATTTTTCTCTTTGAGACATTTAATATTAGAGATGGAATGGTTTAGAAAATCCACAATTTCCTTCCTGTTTCTGTTTTCTCAAAATTCCAGAAATGCCATAAAACATATTGAATAATTCACACCGGGTTTAATTAGGGGTGTGCAAAATAATCGTCATGACGATGCATCGCGATTCTAATTGTTGTGATCTACTGCATCGATTCTTGATGCCACGTATCGATTCTTAATTAACAAAAAGGAATAAATAAAATACATGAATGGTTGATGCACATCAGCCAAAAACAAGTGGAATACAACTTTCAGTCCAGTAGATGTCGCTGCGGATACTGCGACGAGTCATTCATAAACAAAACATGGAGACTGAGAAAATTCGCCTGGCTCCATCACATTCCAAGTCAGATGTTTGGATGCATTATGGCTTTAAAAACAAAGAATGTAAAAGGGGAAATGTCAAACATTTGATTGTTTCCATTTTATTGGTTTAAAGGACCACTGAGGCCATGTAAACAGCACTGTTATTTTAAGTTTTATAAATCCTAAGCACTTTTTGTCAGTGTGTCCACTCCAGTAATAGTAATATTTGTGTCCAGTATTTGTTTTCATTGCAACACCTTCGATAGTTGTTTCAATAAATAAAGCTATATATGACTTAAGTTGCCTTCAGTTATGTATCCATTTAAGACACTATCCAGATCATACCCAGCCAGTCAGCCACTGGTAATAACTGTATTTTTTTCTTACAGTGTTCAGTGAAAATATAGCGATGCATCGCAATATTTCACATATCGTGATGCAACGTGATAAAATCGCATTGTGGCATGTGAATCTTGACTGGAATCGAATCGTGACTTCTTTGGCAATACCCACCTCTAGGTTTTATAAACATTTTTTTTTTAAGTCTTGTAAAACCTGAAGAAATTAAGCATTTTGGTTCAAATTTGACCATTACAGATTTTAAAGGTGCTGCCCGTTATTTAGAAATCAGTTTAACAGATTCCCAACATGTGCTGCCGATTTTTCTGGGGACGATATTGCTCTCTTTATATCCATTTATGTGATAAAATGACACAATGATAAATGTTACATGTCTCGATTTACCGAACCATTGAAAACATTAACAGTGGATAGCAAATAGAAGGAGTAGTAAAACATACAGCTAATACAATCCAGACATTGCTGCTGATTGCAATAATGAATTTGCGAATCATGCATGTATGCATGCGTCAGCCGGTACTAATGTAAGAAAAAAAAACATAAATAAAGGCCAAAAATATCAGCCGACCAATATATCAGTCTATCTCTTATTGTTAGAATCTCTAGTTAAAGCATGGTTCAGTACATTTCTAACAAATTGAAGGAATCATCACCCAAAAATCTGACTTTTTCATTTTATATGGTCTGGGTTGGTGTTTGGCTTAAGTTTAAACATGCTGGACAATAACGGGTGTGAAAGTAGCTATTTGTTTTTTGTTATGTATTTTCTTTTAATGTGGGCCCTGTATTTAAAGGGGTCATAGAATGCAAAACCGAGTTTCCATTGTCATAGATAACGATAGTTCAGTGGGTGAAATGGAAGTACAGAGAAGTTCAAACCCCATCAACACCTCCTTTCTCTGCAAATCTCACAATTCTAAACTTCCACCATAAAACGGGCGAATTCAAACAAAGCCCGGAATTGACGTCAATTCGTGGATACAATTGCACTGTAGTTTATCAAAATCCCGGACGATTTTGAAATTCCCCCTGGACATTTTTTTAGGTATGAAAAGTAGGACATGTCTGGGAAAAATAGGACGTCTGGTCACCCTACCATATCAACAATTTGATGTTTCAGTGAGTGAGTGCTTGTTGCTATGATGCTTCTTTGCTCAGCAGCTTTGCTTGTTGTAAACCAAGCAATCAGCGCACAGCTCATCTAGATATTCATGAGCATACCATAAAAGGAAGAAAACCTGTCGTTTCATTCAGGGGCTTTTAACCAGGCTTGCATAGAGCTCATAGAACAGCAATTATGCGATTTTCAGTCCAACCAATGTTACACACTCTATTCAGAGACCTTAAGGACCAGCACCAAATACCCTATAGAATCATTCTATGACCCCTTTAAACCAGAAAAGCCCAAAAGAGAATAGCGTCCACAAAGCACCATTTGCTCCTCCTTCTTAATTTATGTTGTTCATGAGATAGCGCTAAAATCAGCCCAATTTGCATTCAACAATCCTCTCTCTATTCCACCAAAAGGGGAGATTCCAGCTGTCAGTGACTCAGCTGCAGTCAGGAAGTGTTGCTGCTGCTTGAGCAGCACTTGAGCATTTCATTCTTTGGCATATTATTCTTTCCAACTGATATAAAAAACCAACATAAATATCTTGCTCAGAAGCTATTACAAAATAAAATCATACTATAAATCTGCCTTCATAAAACTGGAGCTACTTTGAGTAATTCCTATATACTAACATATAAAACTGAAGAATTTGGAGCAAAAATTTTTTTTTTCTTTTTGTTTTGTTTTACTTTGTTTCCATCAATCATGACTCCTTAGCTTGCTTTGAACAGGCGTTAAGAAACAACTGTTCTCTACTTCCAGTCTGTTCTTCTGCTTGGTTTTGATTGTGTCAAAGCTGAAGTGGAACTCAGCCATATTAGGATAACTTCTATCTTTGTTTGATTTTTCAATTGGGTCCTCACGAAGTAGAACAGATTCCAGCCATATTTTATTTTATTGCCTTAGAATAAAGATTTTTTATGTATCCATTGCAATGCACTTGCAGACCACTAGGGGTACGAGTACCCCCGGTTGGGAATCATAGGTCTAAGACCCCGAGAAAAACTATGGTAAACAACCCATGGTACCATGCTAAGGCTGATATCCCTACTTCCACACGATGTGCATACACAAAAATCAAGTTCCCATGAATACCCTTGCTAGAATAAAACAGGTCAGATGGAGCTTTATTTCACTTCCTTTCTCCTAAAAAAGATTAAATGTGAATTTAAAGACAATTTCTGAAGGATTTTAGGTTTTAGGTGGACTGGATGATTGGTTCCCGACATCCGGTGAAGATTTTTATTTTATCAACAGCATGTTTAGAGATATATTTAGTTAGAAAACTGTTTGAATGTTTATTTTTACCAACTCTCTTTACTAAACTGGAAAAGTGAGCTTTTGGGTTTGTGAAGTTAGGAAGCTGAGGCAGAGGCATTTCTTGCAAGAAAAAAGGTTCAAATTTATTAAACGCTTTCAGAAGGAGAGATATAGCTCTGACTGGGCAAAGCTCGATACACACATTTATATCTTACCAAAATCCCAACCAACACACTCCCCCCAGGGGAACCAACCCACCCCCTGCATAAAGAACTTCCTCACACTTGAACATTTGGAATAAAAACAAAAGGCCCTTCCCTGTAAGGATAATATATCTTTCACTGGCCAGATGCATCTTCTCAAAACAACAGTTCTCCCCTTCATGCCATGAAGGAGGCTGTGTAACTCATTCTTATCTCTCATAACCTTCGTTTGGAGCCTATGAGGCTAAGAACAGACATACCTCAATATTTTTTACTCCACAGTTTAAATTAGTTTTTTTGTTTTTCTCATAAACCATTCCATCTCTACAAAACACTAACAAACAGCCAATCTGCTCAAGGAAATTCTAACCCAAAGCATTTCTGACTTAAAGCTGAAACCTGAATCAAAGTGTTTTCTATTTGATAAAAAATCTCCGGATTTCTCCACTTCTTCCTGCCTCTGGAGTATTGGATTAAACAGTCAGGCTGAGTATCTTGAGTTTAGCTCCAACTGTGCAGGTTGTTAGTTTTTTTCCTCCTCCAGTTAGACAGAAAGTCATTAACATGTGAATTTACCTGACATCAGTCTCTGTCTCTCTTTTCATCCTGATAAAAAGGGTATGGTAGAGATCTTATTTGGAAGGTTTTAAGGGCATAAATCCCTTTTGGGAGAAATGGTGAGATCTAGCTCTTGCAGCCTCAAACATCAATGCACCTCCCACTGTTGCTGCCTCCTCACACACAGACCTTGATCTTTAAATTCGGTCACCACAGAGCTCCTGTTGGGCCACTTAATAATACACTGCCATGCCTGCAAAATTAATATCTCCCGGTGAATTTTGTCCTACTTTTCCTTAATTTTTCTTATTGTTTTCTTATTGTCAAGCTTTTTTTATGCTCTTATTTTCACCACCAACAGCTTCAGGTGTGATGGAGTTTATGTTTTTGCATCTTTAGAGGGAAATACTTTCTTTGTCCCAAATAAAATGTAAGAGAAAAAAAACGAAAATAACCTGAGTTTGATTTGTTTATGAATGAATAAAGATTGAGCCCAAGTCTCAAATGCAGGATGGAAGCTGTAGAAAGCTTTTTAGAGACGGATTTCTAAGCATATGCTGTGTTTTCTTATCATATGTTTGGAATTAGCAATGGATAGCTCAGCAGTTCTAGTATCCAGTATGAAGTTTACAGAGGAGGAGGGTGCAGCATTTAACAAATATTTAATCTAGCAGTGCTAACTCAGCAATCTGCAGAGAAGGATGTTAAGCAAAACATGTCTGCCACTCCTTGTTTCACCCTACTGAGTGTGAATAGAGGATAGTTTTTAAGCCTGACTGGAATGAAACCGACAGAGTTATATCTGTCGCTTAATAAATTGATATATTTGTTATGTTAACCGGCCTATAAATTGCTGCTTAACAGACAGGCTTCCTGTTTCTCACAAACTGTCATTTTAAACCATTTTTCCTGATCATCCTTTTTTAAATTTTGTCATACTTTTGGGCCCTGAAGGAATATAAGGGTTTTTTTTTTTTTGGTTTTTTTTTGCAGCCATCGTACCAGCAGTGTGCAGCAGTAAATGGAGGTGTAGCAACATTGATGTGTATAAAGGTTATGAAAGGAAAATGCAACTTTTTTCAAGCCTTAATGTTCCAGTAACCTGGCTAATATACAAAAAAAAAATTATTATAAGCAAGGGTAGCTGAATTAGCTGTTGTCTGGAGCTTATTATCCGTTTTTTTCATTAACAATTGAAAAAAACAAACAATATTTCATAATCCCTCAACCAGCATTAAACTTTTACATTAATTACTCTAAGTTTAGCTTAAAAACAGTACGGAATGGACTCATTATCCGGAAGCATCAAAAAGAATGAAGGAGGAACCCTGATAAGTAGTTCTGTTTGGGTCTTACGCCTCACTGGTATCAGCAAACCATGTCTCACACTAGATTGGTGTCTATCTGATGGGGTGTGTCATTATTTGGTGTCCAGCCCTACTTTTCTAAGTGCACACGCTTTTCAATGCCATACTGCACACGTTTTCCCCCTTTTATACAACCTTGCCCTTAAAGGTATAGTGGAGGATGCTCTTTTTCCAGGTGGAGCATCTTAATAAGTGGTCCTCTAACTGTCAATCGTTCTGGTGCTATGTTTACGTAAGGCCGTCCTACGCAGCGGTGAGTCTGACATAAAAGAAAAAATTGCAAATCTTCTTTTGGAAAGTAAGCTTGTGTGAGTGATGCAAACAGCAACTTTTAAACAGAACGTATACGAGGAGAAATGTTCTCCTGCCAGCTCTTTTACGTGTTTAACAGGTGTTCCCACTCAGGAACGGTTATAGGGTTGTGCATGTGCATTTTTCTTTTTTTTTAAAGCGGAGAGGGCAGGTCTTTTCAAAAATTCTCCCCTATACCTTTTAGAAGAGTAACAGTATTACTATTATTTATTTAGGTGGCCCTGTATTTCCTCGATGACACACAATAAAATATTAGTTTTATCCTGACAAAATGGACTTCTGCCTCAGCCAATCTGACTGCTTATGGGGTATTAGACAGAATATTAGTATTTATATGTTTTACAATGGGTTGGCAAAAATATAAATTGAGAATTATACAGATTTTATTTAAATCTCTGTATTTTAGGTTATAACAAATCAATTAAAAAGTAAAGTTTGTTAAGCACAGGATCAAGATGGCAAACAAAATGAATTTATATAGTGCCCTTCTGGTCATATTGACCCCTTAAAGCCCTTTATGTGTACCTCTGTGACGTCCACAAGCATCCATATATTCATAAACCGATGGGCAGATGTGTAGGAATTATGTGTCTAGGGGGTAAGAGCCCTGCCTGGCGATGAGATGTGGCAGGAAGAAGCAGCCAATGAATAGAGAAAAGAATAATGCAGCATAAATCTTCCATGCTTTGTCTCCCCAATGGATGAAGACTGGCCTGAATAAACGGTGCAGCCTCTAAAATGACAGCTTTCACATAATAATTCTATGAATTTTTCTGTTTTAATTTCACTAACCCTGCTTTTTTCCCCAAATGTGACAATCAACCTTGCTTGTTAAATAACTTAAAATGTTCTCCCATTAATGAAAACCATTGTGATGATTCGCTTTTTAAAGTTTCTTTCTCTCTCGTTTCTTATCAGGTTTGCTGTGGCTTTCACTGAAAAGCTGAAAGAAGAGGCAGAATTTGTTTTGGTATAAACAACCACTTTTTCTCTCATATTTTTCAGTAAAAAAAAAAACTGCTGTTTTTCTCAAGGGAAAAAATTCTAGATTTGCCAAAAAAGTGAGGATGTTGCAAATAGAGCTTTTGTGTTTGTTTGTTTTGACCAAGTGCAGTCATTGATTACAGTCTGTTTTAAATTTCTTTTTTTTTTCCTCCATCAGCCCAAACTGTCCAACCGTTTCAGGAATAGATCAGATATTGCAAAGCCTCTAAAGCAGATAACATTAAGATGTTACATGCATGGAAAACAAATTAAGTATTATAAATAAATAGAGGTGCGCCTGTTCGATATTAATATCAGATATTGGCCAAAAACTAATATCGGGTTATATCAGCCTGCAGTGGCTGCTCAGTGGCGCAGTGTGTAGCACTGCTGCCTTGCAGCAAGAAGGTTCGATCCCCGGCCCGGGGTCTTTCTGCATGGAGTTTGCATGTTCTCCCTGAGCGTGCGTAGGTTCTCTCCGGGTACTCCAGCTTCCTCACACAGTCCAAAAACATTAATGTTAGGTTAATTGGCTTCTCTAGATTTTCCTTCGGTGTGAGTGAGAGTGTGAATGGTTGTATGTCCTGTTTGTCTCTCCGTTGCCCTGCGGTGGACTAACCCTGTCCTGGGTGAACCCCGCCTCTCGCCCGTAGACACCTGGAGATGGGCACCAGCACCCCTCGTCACCCCAACTGGGACAAGCGTGTTAGAAGATGGATGGATGGATGGATGGATGGATGGATGGATGGATGGATGGATGGATGGATGGATGGATGGATGGATGGATGGATGGATGGATGGATGGATGGATGGATGGATGGATGGATCAGCCTGCATCTAAAATTTTCGTCATTGTCTTTGACTAGTATTACATGAGTTGGTTGTACTCATACATATTGCTAACAGACTTATATAATTAGACAAACTTTATTGTCAGCTTGTATACACATAGTGTATACAAAATAAAATTTTGTATACACATAGTGTATACAAAATAAAATTTTGCACTGATCCCCATTTTCACCATCTCTGACCGTTTATTTTTTTTGTATGTAACTTCCTTGAGAACAAAAAGACATTTCATAACGACCATGTGTCAATTTTGGGAACTGATCATTTTAAGCAATTTTGTAATCTGTTCAGAGTCAATGCTAATGAAATGGGATTCTATGAATAATTATTATCTACAAGCAAGAAATCATTTAATTTAAATATTGTGGTTATTAAATTTAATTGTATTATGTTAATTAAACTCACGTAAGTAATGTTCACTTATGGTCATTATTAGAAATTATTAGTGTAATATGAATTATATTATGTTCAGTGTTGGGTAAGTTGCTTTAAAAATGTAATCCGTTACAGTTACAAGTTACCTTGTTTAAAATATAATTGTAGTGAAAAGTTTTCGATTACTTTTAAAAAGTAATGTAACTAATTACTTTTTGATTACTTTAAGGTTTTAATGAGTATTGACCCATGTTCAACATTTAATTTTTGAGAACTGAATGTGAACCTTAAAAAAGCACTAAGCTGAGAGGGAACTGCTGACAGGCAATCACAGGATGTCCACAAGAAGAGATGCTTCGTCTATTAGTGAGTTGCACTTACCTCTAAATGTTTCCTCAGGTTTGACATAGATCTCTTCGACGTGGACAAGTTCTTGATAGCCAGCAAACACTTCTTGCACTGCACGGTTAAATTTGAGCCATTTTCACAGATGTATATGAAATGCTCCTTAAATTTCCAGTGCTGGAAGGCTGTCATTTTTGATGCGCTGCTTGAGCTGAAATAGAACCGTCCCCTCGCTTGCTGTTCCTCAAGGAGGCTCCACCAGCACAGGATGGATCATCAGAGTGGCAAATTTGATAGAGACAAGGAGCCGTAGCGGGAAACGGCGATACAGGGCGCGAAGCAATAAAAATATCATTACATATTTCGCAAAGGTTTTTCTTCATATTTAAAAAAAAATGTAAATAAATTTGTAATTCTTAATATTTTCGGAAGTAACTGTAACTGAATTACATATTTTCTTTTTGTAACTGTAACGAATTACGGTTACTCTTTTTTTGTAATTAAATTACGTAACGTCGTTACATGTAATCCGTTACTCCCCAACACTGATCATGTTATATTAAAATATTTAAGATAAAATATGAAAATTGAATGTACTTAAGCATTTTTGTGACTATTTTTCATAACCTATTAAAAGTAATGAACTCCTATGATAATAGATTAGGTCTGCATGGTTAAGTGCTTGGGAATGAAACAGTTTTGTTTATAGTAAAATATTTCAGGCATACTTGATAAGATAGCAGTGTGTACATCAGAAATGGAAACTCTGATAACCTGATCTAATTGATTTGCGTCTATATTTGTGTGAATCATTGTCAATTTCCTTTGGATTGTGGAGCTTTTATCGCAGACATTTGATCTGTGTTTGTTTTTTCAGAAAAGGAAAAAAAATGAAATTTGGATGTATACAGCTTTTTAACAGTGAATTAGCAGCTTATAGCAGTGAAATTAACATTACCATTTATAAAGTGCAGCAGTGATCAGAATGTAAACAGTGTAGGAGAAAAAGAAAATCAGTTTAAAGTCATGGTGCAAAGGGCATTGATATGAAAAGGTTCAGTTCAGTGCAAAATAAAGAAATATGGTGCAAAATGCAGTAGAACATTTAGTTGTGTTCTATTTAAAGGGATTATGAAAAAAAAAAAATCAGCCATGTTGGTAGTGCAAATATGATTTTTATGTTTTTGTTTGTTGTTTACTGTTTTAGTGTTATCCCTTTGTCAAGCCTTTTCTAACATTTTACAGTACAAAATTAGGTAATAAAGCCATGTAGGATTCGTGCCGATATGCTTTTGGTCAATGTCGGAATCAGTCCATTTTAAAAGCTGCAATATCAGTATCATATCTAAAAATGAAAAGGTTTTATCAGGACATCCCTAATTATAAAGAAAGATTAAAAATGCACCATATTAGGGTTGTAGATGTACTTTACATTACATGCATTTCCTGATAAGCAACATAATGTCTCTAACAACTTTTGCAAACAAAAGACGTAAATGAATGACTTTATTGTTATGTTTATTTGTTCTTAAAGTATAAGAGTTTGATACATTTTTAGATAAATGACTGATTGCTTGATTTAAAAAGAAAAACTATTTGTACTGAAGATGGTTAGAAATAATAGAATTACAGCAGCAGGAATAACTTCTCAAGAGGTTTATCTAACTTATAGCTCCTTAATCAGTCGATCACATCCATCCTACATCTATTCTTTATTCTCCTAATGAAGTATGTTTTCCCACTCTGTGCCTAAAAGGGGGTTTATCCTTATGGACTGATTACCCTGCATGGATCAGTCAATATTGTCATTATAACGCATGTTTTAATTTACACAAAATGCCAATTCTTTCTAGAGTCAGGTTTTAGTCCTTATCAGATTGCTGTAATGAGATTTTGGTTAGGAAAACAAAAGGCTTTTATGTTTACATTATAAAGCAGAAAGTCTGTCAGTGTGACAACAGCTTTCATTATACCAACAACAACATTGGACCCTGTTTCACTATGATCTGGTATTAAAACAACATTACAGTGTTTTATTTTCAGATGAGATTGCAGCCACAGGCGGTGGATTGAAGCCTGTGGCATCCTTTATCTCTGCTATTTAAGTGGTGACAGCAGGAAGACAAGACGAGCTCTGAGAGGCATTTCTCTTTATTTTTTTTAACTGACACAACATATACATCGTTGATGGATCTGGTATGATAACATCCAGACAATTTCCTTTTCATCTCCTTGATTTATTTTGCAATATAACTATTATCTTATCAATTGGATCCATGACTCCCCTTTTAAAGTTTTTGTTTTGTTTAAATATGTTTTGAGCATAGAGGACATAAAATGTCTGGTTCTGTAGTTTGACACAAAATAAGAGCAGCACAGACAGTCACAATATCAGAGGATTTGTATAAACAAACGTTGCAGATAATTGATGATTGATCTTTTTCTAACTCTCTTGTTCTAACTTTTTTTTCTCCTACTCAAGGTGTCGCCCAGCAGTAAAATCTATGTTCAGCCCCAAGGTAAGTCATAATGCTGCTTCACTGATAATCAGGCGGTGAACCATTGCGTAATTCCGTGTTGCTTAATTTGTCTAACATACATTTTTGGTTTGGATTTTATGCAACATTATGCAGCCTGACACCTTTTCTTTCCTGCTTGATTTAAAGGTATTCAGACAGAAGTGGCTGAAGACTTCTGCTGGACTGAATTCTTGAGGAGCTCAGGTACTAGATTGTTTTCATCTTTATGGTTGCCTAGTAGCTCCTCATATTTTCCACATTTCAACTCCCACTCCTTCCCCATTGATGCTCCATCCTAACTGCAGTGTAGCCCTCAACTTTTAAAAGTCAGTAATAATTTATTCTCTTCTTCTTGAGGTGGTTTTTACTCAACTAGGCCACCAGTGCTTTGACCATTTGCCTGCTTGGCCCTTCTTCATCATCATTCACAACTTGTACGACAGTGGGCTCAGTATACAGCCCTGTGGGACACCAGTATTGAGTGTAAAAGTGGGATGTGGAGTTGCAAAATTTAAAAATTGCTTAATAAAAATACCCCATTTTCAAAATGTAAAATAGAACTGAGATTATTGTAAATTAATCACAATGACTAAGGGGGAGTGGCGGCGTAATAGTTAGGGCATATAGCTTGGAATCCCGAGGTTCTGAGTTGAAGTCCCACTCTGACAGACTGCCACTCTGAGTCCCTGGGCCCCTATTTGCTCCCGGGGTGCCGAACGATTGCAGCCCACTGCTCCCCAAGGGGATGGGTTAAATGCGGAGGTAAATTTCCCCAATGTGAGATCAATGAAGTTAAATTATTATTATTATTTTTAGAAATATTAGAAATTTCAGAAATCACATTCTCTTAAGTATTCACAGCCTTTACTACAAAGCTCATTGAGAAGTGGCCTGTAGCGTTTTTTACTGATCATCCCAGATTTGTTTCTACAGCTTAAATGGATGTAGCCTGTAGTAAATTCAATTGATTTGGAAATGACTAGGAAAGCTACTCGTCTGTTTGCATACAGTCCCACAGGTGTCAGTGCATATCAGAGCACTAAACAGGAAGTCAAAGGAATTTTCTTTCGAGCTGTAAGACAGAGTTGACTTAAGCCACAAACATGTAAAAGGATGCAGAAACATCTCTGCTTCTTTCAAAGTCCAGTGGCCTTAATCATTGGAAAATAGAGGAAGGTTTGAACCAGCATGGTTCTTCCTAGAGCTGGTTTAGATATGTTAACACTAATTGGAGGAGAAGGGCATTAATCAGAGATGTGACCAAGAACCCCACGCTCACCTCTCTGTAGAAAGTATTCCTTTGTACAGAAGGACCACCATTTCTGCAGCAGTCCACCAATTACAGTAGTAGAAATCAACTAATTTAACACATTTAACCCATTTAATCACCCAGCAGTGTGGGGTTGAGGGTCTTACTCAGGGACCCAGAGTGGCAGTCTGTGGGAGTGGGGTTTGAACTCAGAACCTCAGGATTCCAAGCGCAACGCACTAACCACTAAGCCGCCCAAAGCAGGGATTCGTGTGAAGGGTCTTGCCTAAGGAACCACACTGGCAGCTCATTGCCCCCTAGCTGGGATACGAACCCAGGCTTCCTGTTTGCACGACAGGTGGCTTACCACTTGTAATAGCCAGCCACTATCATGTGTAGGGAGAACCCACAACCAGGCCAATACTATTCCTACAGTGAACCACAGTGGTAGTATCATCATGTTATGTGGTTTTATTTGTCAGCAGCATGGACCGCAAAAACAGTCAACTAGAGGGAAAGATGAATGCAGCAATGGACAGATATCCTGGATTAAAAAATAGTGTTCCACCGATACTGATACCAGTATTGGGTGGGCCCCCTATCCAGCACTGAAATGGTGGTATCGGTATTGGCGAGTACCAACAAATAGAGCACCGATACCATTGTGAGAACCAAAAGTTTATTCAACTATTGTCACTTATTCCAGGTAGGTAATAAAAAGTTCTATTGGATTCACTTTGTATTAGACGTTTTCCTGCTTCACAAAGGTAGGCAGCAGCTTAACAAAGCCATGATGGCAATTATTTTACATCCAATTAGTATGCAGTTTTTCATATATACACACAGACACATCAATTTCAAACAGATGGTATCGGTACCTGCCGATACTGCAAAGCCGGGTATCGGGGCCAATAAATGACCCAAAATGCACAGACAAAAATGCCCATAGATAGTGGTGCTAAGCTTCAGGTATTGCATTGAAAATGAAAAGCTATTTTTTTTTCTCCCTTTCTTTAAGGTTTGTAATTGTTTGTTTGTTTTTTACCTGTTTTCAAGGGACCCAAACGTCTCCAAATTGAAAAAATGGGCTATTGTCTGCTAGCCTCGTGAGACCATCCTGATCTCGCGAGCTTTCAAGGTTTCACTCGCAAATCAGTCTGGAGACTCTCCGTTAAAGAAAATTTGGAGCCGTTCACCAAACGAACGTCCAATCAGAGTTGGCTTTGAGGCGGGTTGAGGTGTGACGCAACGAGAAGCGCGACAGTTCAGTCTAAAGAACATGGCGGCTTCAGCCGATGAAACTAGCATTAGCGTGGCTATCGAGCAAGTTTTATCGGAATTACAAAGTATTTCTTCACTGAAAGAAGAGCAAAACACTGCTCTGGAGGCTTTTCTCAGAGGAAAAGATGTTTTTGCTCTTCTCCCGACTGGTTTCGGCAAGAGTAGCCTGGCTTGTGGTTGTGTTTTCGTCGTCGCTCTGTTAGTACGTCATATGCTTCGTTGATCTGATTGCTTCATCTGGCCCGTCTATCACCAACATAGGCCAATCAGCTAACCAGTATTTTCGCCCCTTCCCAAAATTACTTCAACGGAAGGTTTCCAGATGGATTTGCTCCGCATATCCATCTGGCGGAGTCAGGTTAATTGTCTGCAGAATTTTGATGAAATTGATTTAATACCATTTTGAATATGTCTGTAACGTGACTAAATGTGGGGGAAAAAGTGACACTCTGTAAATACTTAATGGATCCACTGCATGAGCAATACTGTAAATGCTTTGGAGTCATCACTTAGATGAACACCTTGTTGCTGCTTTGAATAGCTTCGCACATGCATACCTTCACTCTACAAGCATCTGGGAATTTAAATTGGACATTGCAAGATGATGCCCGGTCCCAAGTACATTAGTGCTCCCAGAAAACCCCTGTGAGTACAGAGAGGAACAGCTGATTTATAGCTCTCTAACCTCAGGATATTTATCACCAGGTTCCCCAGCAGCTGCATGTAATACAAATTTTCCCACTTCTCACTTCTCCATTCGTTGTTTCTCAAACGGACAGCACTATTATTGTGTGGTTATATGAGTGTGCGCAAAAAATGTGTAATCTGAGTCAGTTATATTCCAAAACTGCCCGAGCATTGTTCTTCTGTTTAGACCAGAAAAAAAAAAAAAAACATATGATGCTTTTATTTTGTTGCTGTTTTGTTTTTATAGGTGGGAATTTATTCTAAACCTGTGAGAACTAATGCTTTGCTGTTTTGTTTTGACAACACAAGGTCTCCTTGTTGCAATCTGCTGAAGGCAACTCCCACAGTAGAAAACTTTGTGCTGAGACTTAATGCAAACACCATACTTTATTCTTTTAGAAAAGATTTTCTGAAGAATTATGCTTGAATGAGAGAAGTTCCTCTGTTTCTTTTATAATCCAAGTCATTATTTGTTCGTTATCTTGATTATTTTCTTGATGTTGACCTGCTCTGTCTTGTCCGGTAATCAGAGTGAGGAACTTTTCCAGTTAAGAGTTCTTTAGGCAGAAATCCATTTTGGGAAAAATCCCACATGCTTTCTTTTTCTGTCAGCTTTCATCCCCCCCTTGTTGTTCCACGCATTCGTGGCACAGCAGGGGGCACCATCCCATGTGTGCGTTTTCTCCACCCACAATGCAGCAGATTTTTCTATTGCTTGGACCGTTCCATCTGGAACCACATAAATTGATCATTTCTAAATTGCCAAATGTACAATGCGTTCTGTTTGAAGAGCATTGTGAAGGTAAGTAGAGATTTGGAATGGGAATGTGTTTTTAAGTGGGCCTCATTTCTGCAGTGGATCACTTTAGAAAGGCCACAGCTTGGGAAGATAAAAGATAAAGCAATGCTTCTAGCTGAATGAGAACACGCTAAGCTGCATGTGCTCTTCCACGAACGCATTGTGCTTTCCAGCGACAGACTTCAGCATCAAAACCCAGGAGCTTTAAGCCCATTTAAGCCACTCGATGAGTTTGAGACGGTGTCTGTTTGCTTTGTGAAGTGAGATTAGAGGGGAAGATCAGGTACAGCACCCAGGTGAGCAGTGTCATCATGAACTGTTAAGGAACTCTATCCTCTTAACATGTTAATGATTTTAGAGTTGGCTTGTAATTTTAAATAGCAGCAGTGTTGCTGGTGTAATGACGAGTAAAATATGTGCAAAGAGAAGCTGTGATACCATGATGGTCTGTTTATCATGAAAAAGTAAAGTTCCATAGACTTCATGCTACTTTTATTTATTTTCAGACAGGTTTCGATTAACATGCATTCATAGATTTATTTGTTTTAGTTCGCTGCAGGCTATATCACAGTACATCTTGCTGGACCATCAGGGTTATTTAATTATTTTGTATTATTAGTAATGCATTAAATGTTGGATGATGATATTTATTGGTCCATACTTGGAATGTCTGCAGAATGCAGCCTTTCCCCTGAAGTAGATGCTGACACACAGGTTACACTTCAGGATGCGCACATGAGAAAGAGTTTCCCATTGTTTGGTTACCATTGTTTCCCGGCTCCTGAAATATAGGTAAAAAGTTACGCAAGCAGCAACACTTGCCAACTCCCTGCAGGTGAGTCCCTGATTGGTGGATTGGCCCCTTTTGGTGGAATTCAGACGGAAATGGTGTTAGCAAGTCGGGCTAATTTTAGCTCCTTTCTAGGCAGTACTAGAGTTGATGGCCCCCCATACCATCTGCTGTGACATTTTAATACAGAATGTGTAAAATTTCTACTATATATTAACAGTAATGGCAATAAAATTGCTCTTTCAACATTTGGTGGGCTGGGGCCTTACGAGTAACCTGAGCAAAATAAATAAAATCAAAGAAGTATCCTACCATGACTATGAAGCTGATCCCAGTGGGAAATTAGTCCCTAACTATGTAGGGGCAGTCAATGCCATGCCAGTTCAGGGACTGACTGCAGTTCTACTGTAAGGTGCATTGGTCAAGGTCAATGGCTGACGCACCTGACATGGAACAACCATGCCATGCATATTGCTTTAGGTTAGACTATATTAATTAGGCTATGTATGGTTCCAAAAAAATAATAAATTACCTACCTACCTTTTTTTTTTTATACAACTAGACTACTGCTTCTAGGATAGACCTCGATACAGAAAGACAACCAAAATCGTGCTTTGTAGAGAGCACACTCGCTGGGCACTCGCTACAAAAAACTAAGCTACTTTCCAGTATTGTTTTAACTAGGGCCCAACACCAACATGTTCTAACATGAAAAATGTAGATTCCCAGGTTATGAGTCATCAATATTAGGGCTGCAAGTAATGATTATTTTACAAATTGATTAATCTGTCGATTATTTTTTCAATTAAATGATTAATGATTGGATAGCAGAAGGTTTCTTAAAGAAGATTGTTTACAAAATTAAACCAGTTTGGTTGTGGCCAGTTTCTAAGAAGTATTGTTGCTAAACAGTTAGCAACTTAGTGCTAGTAGGTTCCCAATGGGAAGGAGGAGAGTTTTGTGTCGGAGTTCGTGGATGAGTCTCCTCCATCATCCATTTTTTATTTAGAGGAGGAAAGCGAGGATGAAGATGTTGTGGAAGAGGACGCCAGGGCGGCAGAAGCTTGGTTTGGTGTAGAAGGCTTACAGCCGTACATGTTTGAGCCCTTGCCTCGCAACGCTGCCAGTTCTGTTAGATCTACGCCTGCTGAAGACACAGACGTCCATCCCCGTGAACACTGGGATAGAACTCAATGGGAAAGGAAATGATTCTTATTTCTTATTTCAACCTTTGCGTATATTAGCTGCGACATATGAATCAAGATGCTATTACCGAAAGAAATTTGATTGACAGATGACCGTGGATATATGATTGGTCAAATTTAGGTGTACAAGCTGACGTATAACTAACTGGCCTGCATAAGATAACGAAAAAAACTGATTATAAGACGGGGTTTTTTTTTTTTTTTTAGAGAAATTTTCTCAATTTTGGGCCGATATAAACTGCTAAAGAGTACATTTATATACATGTTTAAGCCAGAAGGAGTTGACATCTAAATTTGATTTCCCTACGACTTTAAAGCCAAATGTATCACATTTGACACCTGAGCATCAGTGTGATGTTTTTGTTTTTGAAACCCTGACTTACATAATCAGACACATGTAGTCAACAGAAAACATATAAAAGATGAAATAGGAATGCGTAATGTATCAAAATTGATGCAAATAAATGAGGAAATTTAACATATACAAAATTTATTTTTTTATTTCATTTGTCAGAAAGTTTGATGACAATTAGAAAATTAGAATCTTCTGTCAATTATTTTGTGGTTCAGGCTTTGAAGGGTTAAAACATCCCACTGCAGCCCATTCCTTGCTTTACGCTATTGAACTAGGTGTCCATCTAAAGAGTTTTGATCCCAATATGAGGAAATCTAATTTATCCTGCAGATATTATTGTTTTTTTGGACAATCAGATCCTTGGGCAGGGGTCAGGCCCCTGACCTGATGCTGTTGTTTTAAGTTGTTCTTAATAGCATTAAAAGAACTACTTCAGCCTCCTGATCTGGACTTATCTGGCAGCAGAGGATTTCCCTTGACTGTTGCTGTGCTACGTCTGAGCTCATATGGGTTAATGTGTTTGGCATTGCTTTAAAAGTTTTTGTTTTAGAGTTTGTATTTTTTTTTCAGCACAGCAATTCCCATATAGAAAATGAATCCAATTGCCTACTTGTTTTACGTTCTGATCTTTGTCCCTTTATTTCAGTGAGATGCGTTTCATAAAATGGGCAGCATTATTCAAATCAAAGTAATATTTTGGGGCATTCGCTGGGTCTTGGCCGTTACAGTAGTTGTTGGCATTGAGCGCGGTTGTCCGCCTGCCAGTTGCTGACTAATCTAAAGATTGAACACGAGGGCTGGATGATCTGGGGCCGGGGCCAACGCCACAGCGTTCTGTCTCAGCTGCAGCAAACTTCTCAAACCCTTGCATGTTGTGAGCCTGTTCAGGCTCTTCCTGGTTATTTCTCAGTCGTCCAACAAGCAAATCTGCGTCCCAATGTTCGGACAGTGTGACCGTGACGCCGCAGTTGCACCGATTAGGCTGCAACCTTTCAATGATTTCAGCAGACTATTTTTCCCTGTTGCATTGTGCAGGCACATTAGTCACTGCTGTCTTCTCTTCCTTGTGACCTTGGCTGATGTATTGCTTTCATTATCTGCTGATGTACTTGGGATGTTCATTATGCAGCGTTTTTGTTTTTTTTATATTGTGTTTCTCCCTCTCTCTGTGTTTGGCTTTACTCCAGGTGTGAGAACAGAGCGTGTGGATGAGCTGCGTGTCTTCCTCCTGGTCTGTGGCCTCAGAAGAGTCAAGGACCCTCTCTATTTGGCAGAAGCCTTTTCAGGTCTTGTTATTTTTGCAATTTTAGTTCTGTATGAACCAGGAATGATAAAACTACCACACTCAGAGGAAAGCAAAAGGACCTACACCTGAACTTTTTTCTTTAACTCAAAGTCATAAATTTTAATCTTTTTTATGTCACAGACCAACATAAATGATTGAGGAAGGAAAAATATGAGTGTACTCTAGTTATTCAATATTTTCTTGAATCAAGCAATCAGTTAGACCAGAGGTCTTCAACAGGGGGTCCACGACCCTTGGGGGGCCCCAGAGGTACTGCATGGGGGTCGCAAAAGTTTTGGTTGATTAGACTTCTTATATTCCCCCCTGCAATGTTTTCCACTTATTGAAATGTCTTTAAATCCACATTAACATGAATTCAACACACTGTAGTAAACAGATAAATGGAGGCAGAAGATGTCTTTCAGTCATCAATGCACACATTCAGCGACACACAGGAGCTCTTTCAAGCTGGGCACCGTTTCATTCACAACACCTGTCCCATCAACCAGGAATCAGAATCAGAAATACTTTAATGATCCCAGGGCGAAATTACTTTAGTTACATTACTCTATATGTAATAGAGTGACTATAGGACCAGTTTGATAGAACACTATTTTCTACAATATATATAATTAGGGGGTCTCTGCTCCATCTCCATCAGTTTGAGGGTCCTTGGCATGGATAACATTTAAGACCCCTGAGTTAGATGGAGGTTTATGCCTTTAAAATATAAGGCTTGTTAAAGAGCAGCATTCAAAGTAGGTCTGTGGTTAGGATTGTTTTCCTGCTGGAAGGTGAATCTCTTTTGCAGCTTCTAACAGGTCTCCTTACAGTATTATCATGTTTAAGTCCATCCATCTTTTCATCAGTTCAATGGAGCATTTATCTCGTTTCAAAAACAGCTTTCTCACTTACCTCTATGGTGTTGTTTTAACGTCCATTGATATTATTCTATTAATCCACGTAAATGATCAACTGTAAACAGGATTCTCAAGGCCTTTCTTTTGCCATTTTCCCATAAAATGGAGTGTAGGGTTGTGGTGATGCAAAGATTTCTAATAATAATAATAATAATTGAACTTTATTGATCTCACATTGGAGAAATTTACCTCTGCATTTAACCCATCCCTTGGGGAGCAGTGAGCTGCTATCTTGGGGATAATGTGGGGTTAAGGGTCTTGCTCAGAGACCCAGAGTGGCAGTCTGTGGGAGTGGGGCTCGAACTCAGAACCTCAGGGTTCTGGGATCTATGCCCTAACCACCAAGACACCATTCATTATCAATACATAGAAAAAATTTTATACTTAAAAACATTTTCATACTATACTACACTCAGGATAAATCAGTGGCAAAAAGGAAAAAAATATAAAATGTTATTAAAGTAAAAAACACATTTTTGAAGCCTAAGAGGGAACATGCTTTCCCAGCAGAATCACCAAAGCTAGATAAAGGGTCATAACATGGTATTTAACTTATACAATCCTTTTTGAAGTTATCTTTACATTAATGTTTAATCATTTTTAGTGGAAAAAATAAATAGAGCTTATTTGGACCCCTATTAATCCACCTTTTTATCAGGTGAAACTAAAACTGTTCGACTTGAGCAGTTCTGAATAGAGCTTATTGACAGATTTTATTTTTTTATATCAAATGCAAAATTTTTAATCATTTTTTTATATTTTCTGTATAATTACTGCTCTAAGTGGGTCGATCTCTGCTAAAGGCACGTTTTAGAGTCTCTATATTCCAGTTAACGACAAATCGATTACGTATTAAATTAGAGATTATTTCAATAATTGATTATTCACGATTAATCTGATTGTTTCAGCCCTAATCAATAAATAACCCAAATATTACACAACTTAATATTTTCAGTTTGTCTGGGGTATTGGGTATTATTCTTTTAATGTGCAAAAAAATAGCAATCTAAAATGATAACAAAAATCTTCAAACAACACTTGTCTTTTAATATGAATACAAAATTTGTACTGTATTCAGATATCAATACATTTTAGCATATCTATATTTTTGAAAACCATAGTGGAGTGCATGACTTATAGTGTAGAGATATTATTCCACCTGAGCTATGGGATGCTACCACTCCTCCAGAGTTGGTTCTTTATATCTGCCTCTTGATTCTCGGTTCCTGCCTGTTAGTTTAGCTTAACAGTCATGTCTTATGAAGGTTCGTTTTTGGCGATGATGTCATGACCTCGATATGTTTGTACAGATAAACATTCTAGTTTTCTAATTTCCTGAATTTTATGGAGAGATATCAGAATAAAGGCAACAAAAAATGATCTGCATTCAACACATTTTTATTCCACTTTCAAGAATAAACCAAGCTTTTGTTGGTCTAACACAGAAAATCCAAGTAAAAACCAGTTTTAGTTGGATTTTAGCAGTGGTCATGTGATAAAATGTTAAAGGGGCATAAAATCTAATTCAATCAATATATTAAGTAGGATCCACTGACATTAACTCAGGATGTCCCCTGTGGTGAAATTCAATTTAATTCAATCAAAAATACTTTATTAATTAAAAATGATGTTAAATCTCCAAAGCTGACTCTGAAATTAATTGCTTTTAAATACATTATCATAATATTACAGTTATATCAAACAGACAGTTTTTGTACTGTTTCTTCATATTTCACTTTAACTTGAATAAATTTAGAGCTGTTAAGAATTTTAAGTAGTATCTGTCATCCTTTTTTTTTCTATTATAGTTTCCAGCTATGGTAATGAGACAGCACTAGAGGGCGTCAAAATGTACATAAATGTTTAGATGAGCTGTGAGGATTTTCCTGTGCTGCTGGATTAAAATCTAGTGCACTCGTGCCTAAAAGCAAGAGCAGTGTGCTGCCGTAAGACAGTGCAACTACAAGACGTCTATAAAAATACATGCATCAATATATATAGTCGAAATATGAAAAAATATTCACCTCCTCACTCTCCAAGCTGATTTTCATTCCTCTCTTTCTTTGCATGTTTCAGAGTGGCATTCTGCAAACCTTCTCAATATATTGATCATAATCGGCGCAAAGGTAAGCAGGGACTTTTATACCTGTTATTATATAGAGATTTTGACAATTCATGTTGAAATTATGATTCATTTTCTCTTTATTTTGTCTGTCATAAAAAGAACTGTGCTTCTGAATGTCAAGAGAAACCTGGCTTATGAAGTCAGGGAGCCTCTAATTGGATGTAGAAGAGATAGAGGCTTTAGCTGTTCAGCTGGAATGAAAGAGCAGCTCTGGAGGGAAATGTCCTCACTGTCAGCAACAGTATTGGTGCTTTTTTTTTCCCCTCCTCTGCTTCACCCCCCCCCCCCCCCTCATCATTTGTGCCTCTGGCTGTTTTGCTATTTGCTAAATTGATCCACTGCTGACCCCAGATTAGCACTTGCTGTTGACTAATGAACTGTGCTAAGCTCTCCCATTTTCACACAAATAAACTGAGATTTATCTGGAAATGTGCAGGTTTAAATTACAGGCAGAGTCTGTGGCCCGGTCAGACAACATCATTCCTCTGTCCCGTTTATCTCCCATGGACATATTAACCACACTTGTGCAGGCAGTGGAGATAAAAAAACACAGCTGGAAACTTACATCATCGTCTGACTGGTTGATTTCTGGAAAAAAAAAAAAAAAAGATTTCTTTTAAGCATTTTCAGTGCCCAGCTCCTCTATTCATACGCCCTGAAGGTTTTTATCGTTTAACACATTTACCACAGTAGAACATGTTCTGAGATTTAATAGACCAACTGAAAGTAGAACAGAATTTTAAAGATTTTTAGAAATTATGTTCTCAAACATACATTTTTTTGTATCCCAATTTAATGTAAAGACCAAAAGAAGTGTAACTTATGGAACAGGATTAGGGCCACTGGGGAAAAAAAAAAAAGTGATTTTTAAATTTTATTTCAGTTTAACATGGGGAAAAAAAGTCAGAATTCTGACTTTAATCTCAGAATTCTGACTTTAATCTCAGAATTCTGACTTTAATCTCAGAATTCTGACTCTAATCTTTGAATTCTGACTTTAATCTCAGAATTCTGAAATTAATCTCAGAATTCTGTTTTTTTTTTCAGAATTCTGACTTTAATCTCAGAATTCTGACTTTAATCTCAGAATTCTGATTTCTTCTCAGAATTCTGACTTTAATCTCAGAATTCTGACTTTTTTCTCAGCGTTCTGACTTTAATCTCAGAATTCTGACTTTAGTCTCAGAATTCTGACTCTAATCTTTGAATTCTGACTTTTTTCTCAGAATTCTGACTTTAGTCTCAGAATTCTGACTCTAATCTTTGAATTCTGACTTTAATCTCAGAATTCTGACTTTTTTCTCAGAATTCTGCATTTAATCTCAGAATTCTGATTTTTTTCTCAGAATTCTGACTTTAATCTCAGAATTCTGACTTTAATCTCAGAATTCTGACTTTTTTCTCAGAATTCTGACTTTAATCTCAGAATTCTGACATTAATCTCAGAATTCTGACTTTTTTCTCAGAATTCTGACTTTTTTCTCAGAATTCTGACTTTAATCTCAGAATTGTGGATCTTAATGTAGATGGGCACCATGAAGGCAGAGATGTGGAGCACTCAGCTTCACTGACAAAGATGTGAGTTGTTTGAGGTGGCCAGTGACACATTGGTGGAAAATGACAGAATTAGCCGACTTTTTACGTGCCCAAGGGGTCCCCTCATTAATGGAGGAGCAGAAGGTAATTAAAACAAGAGAGCTAGTCTCTAAAACAAACATGGCTATGGCTTGATGCTAACATGTTTGTTAGCTGTCAGAATTCTGAGAAAAAAGTCAGAATTCTGAGATTAAAGTCAGAATTCTGACTTTTTTCCCATACTAAACTGAAATAAAATAAAAAAATCGGATAACTTTTTTTTTTTTTTTCAGTGGCCCTAATCCTCTTCCGTAGTAACCAGTTGCTTTAAGAAGTCCATCAAATATTGAATAGAGTCAAACTCTGTGTGTCATTTAATATCTTTTTAAATCCAGCTATTTCCTTAAAGCTCTCAGGTGAACGTTGGAGAACAAAACACACCGTGTAGACAGTGGAAGTAGCAAACAGGTCGGGGTAACAGCTGAGGAAACTAGTGATGCACTGATTCACAGTTTTACACTTTCCATCCGATTCTGATACTTTGGATATCTGCAGATGCCAATATTTTTCTGATACTGGAGTGCTCTTTACTTTAAAATTATCATCTTTACTGTATTTTTTTTTTTCATGAGGCTGTCATAAACTCCTCTCTACAGAAAACTATCATATGTATGATTGGACACATGTATGTTCCAAAGGAAAGGCAAGTGTCTTTATTTATATAGCACATTTCAGTAAAAAGGCATCTAAAGGGCTGTAGATATACAAAAATAATAGGAAAACACAAAGACGAGTACATTATAGTGGCATAAATGTAATTAAATAATTAAAACATTTTCATACTCAAATAATTAAAAGCAGACCATTATTTAAATTGAAAAATACAATAATTACCAATAAATGAAATAAAAGTTGGAGTAATAATGGAAACTATTCCTGTTTAGACAGTTTAGTTCTAATCTAGTTTAGAGCCCTATTAGAAAAAAAAAGGTTTTAATCTTGATTTTAAGATACTTTTCAGCATTTTTACTGTTTTCTAGGAGTTTTTTTTCCTGACTAATGCAGCATAAAAACTAAAAAGCTGCTTCTCCATGTCTTGTAATGGGAAGCCTGATATTAGTATAAGGACAGAAAAGGAAGTAATAAAACAGTAAATCTTGTTATCAGGACTAATTCCATCCTCAAAACAAATATCAGCTATAAGGGTTCAACTTGAGTGTATTTATAAAATCAAATATGTACTGGTGAAGGTTCTCAGTCATCCAGGTCATAGTCATTCCAAAAAAAGAAAATTAAAAACAATCCGCTGGACTTTGTTTCCAAGTTTGAAGACGTTTCACTTCCCTGCCAAGAAGTTTTTCAATTCAAATGTCAGGAATAGCATTGAGTTCGATGGGTGGACCCCTTCGTCTGTTCCAATTGGCATGTTTTCAAAACAAAAACAAGACTTTGTTGAGCGACTGTATAAAACCTTGAACTCTGCGCTATTCCTGACATTTTGAATTGAAAAAGCTTCTTGTATGGGAAGGGAAATGTCTTTAAACTTGGAAACAGAGTCCAGTGGGTTTTTTTTTTTTTTTTTGGAAATCAAATATGCCCTTAGAGGGGGTAATTTTTTATTTTTTTTTTCTTGTTAAGGATTTTCTTAATTTAATTTGAATTTATTATAGAAATAGGCTGAGTATATGTATCCCTATGGATCAGGCCTAATTTCACCAATACATGATCTAGAATTTTCTTCAATATCTGGACCGATATCAATAGGTGGTGGCAGCATCATGCTGTGGGGAGGCTTCTAATTAAGAGGAACAGACTAAGAATAAAAATATGTAAAGAAGAATGGGCAAAATGTTCAGCCGTTCGGTGCGAAAAACTGGAAGAAATGTACTATACTGCACTTTTCAGATTTAATTTTTGTTCCAAACTTTTGGAACCAAGCATCATTTGTGTTGGTCTACAATAATAAATTCCAATTAAATATATTAAAGCTGGAAATGGTAAAGTTTAGGGGGTGTGAATACTTTTATAAAGCACTAGATGATTTCTTTGTCTTAATCCTGCGGATAAAAAAAAATAAATCCAATTCAATCTTCAAGCTCTTATCCTGCTGTTTCATTTCCAATCTCTCACATTGATTCCTTTTCGTGGTCTCATCTTCTCTTCCCCCTGACTGACTTTGAGCTCACATCGGTGCATCGTACTTAAGCATCTTTTCATTCTCTCAAACAGTGGCGCCAGGCGAAAGGTATGTTGTGCCTATAGTTTCGCTCAGTAAGACATAGCCAGGGGCATATGCTCTATCTTACTGCCGCTTCGTGCTTTCGCTACGCTTTGTTGATGCTTGATGAGACGGTTCAGTGGAAGCAGAGACGTGTGATTCATCTCGCTCATCTCACCCTGAATCACAGCAGATTCATGCTTGTTTTTCTTTGAGGTAAATAGACCTAAATGTCTTAAATGTTACTATTCCTTTGGTTAAAGATCCTTTAATGGCTGCCCTTTTTATCCCCCTCTTTCTTAATTTCTTTATAATAAACCTTAGCTGTTCAGAGGATGTTAATGTAACCACAGTAAATACAGGTAGTAAACAGGAGGCAGAGCCTTGTTTTGACTGTAATGACGCTCTATAAATTCCCCCTCATAATAAGCACTCTGGCTGTGCGACATCTGTCAACAAGAGGAAAATTCAGGTCAGCGGTGCTTGGCAGCAACATATTACTCCTTTCTAACTTGCCTTTATCATTGTTATTGAAAATATAGCTTTATATGAAGAGATAAATTGCATATATATATATAAATACTGTCTTTTATTTAGTGACTTGCCACTTTGGGATGAAGAAAAAACTAAATGAAAAGAAACTTGATCATCACCATGAGGGAAATTGTTTCCCCCTCCAGAATAACAAATAACTTACCACAGCTCTAAAACTAATCCTAGATTTCACCAAAACACCAAAATGCTTTCTATTCAAAATGGTCGTTTTTTTGGCACTCCGTCTTTAGAAATGAACTGTATAGGCTATAGTAAAACAAGTAGCAGTTTGCTTGGTGGCATCTCTGACCCAAATGGCTACGCTCTGACTTCTCTGGAGGCAGGCTAATGCACGCAAATCCCACGTTGCAATTAATCAGATTGGCCTCCCACCCCAACCCTGACCCCAATCTCTGAAAATACTGGATTTTCACTGAGTGATTTTCTGATGAAATAAATTCTTCTGTCATTGTTTATCTTATCTGTCTGATTTGAGTTCTTGTTGCAAAGCTTGATGAAAATAAAGCGGCTACGGATCTACATTTGTTTGTCCTCTATAATCTTAATCTACACATGTATTTATTTTCCAGGTTGATCCTGCACTTACTGCTGAAGTGGAAGCTGTCGTTAAACGGTAAGGGCTCTGGCAGAAACATAATTACACTCTGCTCTGAAGTGGTTGGAAAAAAATGACTAGCTTCTTTGGTGTTTCTTAAAGCTGCGAACCTTTGGGTTTATTTAAGTAATAAAAGTATTTAGAAATGTAATTGACCCAGAGTGGCAGCCTGTGGGAGTGGGGGTCGACCTCAGAACCTCAGGATTCCAAGCCAAAGTGGTCCCAGAAAGGGCCATGTGGCATCAGGTTTTCCTTACAACCAAGCATTAGCACACCAGACTCCAGTCATCTCATCAAGTCATCATGATCAGATTGGACTCACTTGATGAGATGACTGGAGTCTGGTGTGCTAATGCTTGGTTGGAAAGAAAACGTACAGCCACACGGCCCTTTCTGGAACCACTTTGACCCCCCTGCCCTTTGTCCTGTTCAGACTTTATTCAGGGTTCCCGCGAGTCCTTAAAAAGTCTTAAAAGTCATTGAATTCTTCAAAATTAAACTAAGGCCTTAATTGGTATTAAAATGTCTTAATTCAGTCTTTCGTAGGTCTTAATTTTTAAAACATCATAAATAGGATTATTTTTATTATGTTTTTTTGTAATCTAAATAAAACATTGAAATTGACAATTTGAGATAACGATAGCGGAACCAATAAAAGCGTTGTTGCGGCCGGGACATTTGGGAGATGCGCCATTAACTTTTTGTCTGGAAAATGTGAGCAAGTGTAAATGTAATGAAAATTGTCTCCAGCCAAGAGTTTTCTCCATGGCTAAAACCAGGGAACATACATGAGGCTCAGTGGATTTTGTGCAAGAAGCAATTCAAGCTCAGAACGATGGGAATTAAGGCAGTGGAGTCGCACATGCGAAGCACGAAACACAAAGCGTCAAAATCGAGTTACCGAGAAACAGCCTGTATTTCTCAGTTTTGTTCCACCCTTGTCTCTGCAAAACAAAGTTTGTGAATTCAGTTAAATAATTGTTCAAATATATCTGTCATTTGTGTGTTTTTAGCTTTCTTCCTGTATGGGAAGTTTTTCAAAATTTGAAACATTAGTGCAGTGGTTTATGTTAAAATAAACCTTTGGGTTAAGTTGTCACAAGCAGGTTTTTCTTGTGTTTCTTGTGAATTTGGTCTTAAAATTTATCTCAAGTGGCATTAAAAAGTCTTAAAATGTCTTGAATTTACCTTGCCTTATGCTGTAGGAACCCTGTTATTTATAGAGAAGTTTAACTGGCTTTAAAAAATGAGTTGTGAGTAGGTGAAAAAATTGACTCCCACCATGCTGAGATTCAATAAAAAATAAAGTCCAGCAATCCCTTTAACGTTGGCTACAGCTAGTACGACCATTTGGGATGTGCTAAAGAAACAAAAGAACTGTCAGCATTAAGACCGCTAATAGTTGCATCCGCAGTAACCGTTAAATAATAACCGAAATTGAAGGTGAACCTATGAAAATTAAGAATTAAGAACCAAGAGCAGTGGAGAAGATACAAACTACCTTTGGCAAGAAGCAGGGAAGGCCAGAGATTTAAGGAGCTTTAAAGCTACAGTGTGTAATAATTACACTCAGTAACAAGAAAGGTGAACAAGGCGGCAGGCGTGAGTGACTTTGCAAACTGTTTGGCACTGTGTGGCCAAACATCAGACGAATGGAGGATCATGCCTACTCTGTATCACAACGAAAAGCGGCGGACACCGAACCCCCGTCATCTAAGAAGCGGAAACACGACGAGAATAAACGCAAGCGTGACAAGAAACGACAAAAAACACGGATCAACATTGGCTCGGCATTTACACGATGGAAGTCACTGATGGAGGAAAAAGGTTTTCAAAGTGACGCTCAAGTTGCCAGTTTTCTCTTGGACAGGTAATTAATCCTACACACACAATTGTCTAATATCACTGCAGTTTTTGGAGTACAGGATGCTCAGACCTGTCTAAAACAATAACATGCTGTTACTCTCCAGTATACTTATTCAGCAACGTCCCTGACGTTTCACAGGTAATGATTCAGTAATTATCTGTAAAATAATTTTCTGGATATATACCTCGGTTACTTCTCTCCGGCTCCTTTGGAGATCTTCAAGCCTTTCCTCCTCTGCTCTAGTCACCCCGCTGGCCCTGGCTGCACGCCAACCCCGGCCTCTCTGCCCTCGCCCTCTTCCTCGCCTTGTAACCCCCGTGCCACAAACAAGACTTGGACTCTGTAAACAGGGAATATATATTCTTCCAGCGAACACAATCTCGCTGTTAAACTAATGACTACAATTACTTTGTCTGTTTATATCACCATGCAAAGCAGCTCACCAAAACGTCACAACGACGTAGAAAAAATAACGGGTATATTTATTATCTAAAGTCTACATGAAATCTATGCCCTACACAGACTAATGAAATACTATCTGTAAAATTATCTATGTAAACAAACCTCATCACTTGAGAAGGTAGGTGATTCCGACGTCGTGGAAGACATTTTGTCCCGTAACGCTCGCCGTACTGTTGGGGGGGAGAAGCGGTGGGGGGGAGACGTTCATGTTGCTGCAGTCTGCAGTCTGACCGCTAGATGTCGCTGAAAATTACACACTGTACCTTTAAAAATTTCTGCACCAAAGTGTTATGAACTGAGGAGATGAAAACCTCTTTCACAAAACATTTCTATCACAACGCCTGAAAAGATGAGCCACCTCTGAGCTGCATCTGGAGCCTTGAGGTGGAGGTAGCAGGAGGGATTCATAAATCAGTTCAGGACGGCAGAAGCAGGTGACTTTAGTTCTATGCATAAAATCTATGTTGGAATTCTCAGCATACCAATCTTTTTTATAACAATGTCTAACTAAGTTAGTGCAGCAGTCCTGTTTTTAGCTGAACTATATATCTGTATATCTGTCACTTTTTAAGTAGGAAATGATTCCTGCAGGCATCTGTTCTTTGAACTTTAAAAACAGTTGCCCCAATGCAAGTCAGCCAAAAGGGGGCCGAATTTAGTCCCACTTCTGCTGTTTGGAAATCTACAGTATAAGACATGACTGACTGGGTTAAATACGGGTAAAGCCCATTTATTTTTTGAAGGCTATTTCTCATATAGCAAGATAACCAACCAGAACATGCTAGAATAAACAAAATAAAGTCGATGTGGAGCATGAAACAGAAGGTTTTTGACCCCAAACTGCAGCCTGTGGGGACGTTCGTCACCTCCTGAAGGGATCACAGTTCAAGAATGGTTTTAATATGGTTTGCAACTAATGCAGATAAACATAAACAAATATACTAGTGTACAATTCTTCCTTACTGAAAGGATGCAGCAAAATGAAAACCCTCTTTAAATTGAAAATGCCAGTGGACTTTTTTTTTTTTTTTACTTCTGGTTATGCATGTTTTTTTGTTTGTTTTTTTAGTTTTATTTTGTTGCAAATAAGACAACAGACATGCAGTCACTTTTAAAACAGACTCGGACATTTTTTTCTTTTGATTTTTATTAAAGGCAAAAAAAAGCATATTTGTGCCACTTCGTAACAACAGACAGAATGAATCTAAAATAAATTTGATCACTTGCAGTGTTGTTCTTTTTAATTAATCAAAAGCTGCAGATATTTGATTTTAAATCTACATTTAATTGATATGGCTGAAGTGAGTCTATTTGATCCCCAATTATGATCGTCTCAGTCGTTACACCACAGAAATCTTTTTTATAGATTTAGTGGCCAGATGGGGCCACTAAAGATCTTGGGGTGGCACAATGAAACTAAAAGCCATAATTTCAGGGTTTGAATCTATTGTGGTGAACTTGCCTGTAGAAATCATAAAGACTCAAGAAAACAGCTACTCATATCTACAATTTACACTGGCCAGTGGGGGGGGGGCAGGGCTTGGCACAGGGTGGCCACGGCCATCCCCTGGTGGCACCTGCATTGCCGTCTGAAGGGGGCCTGAGGGCCTGGGTGTGCCGTTATTTTTTTACGGAAATCAGACTTCTTTGTTGTTGTTCTTTTGTATAATTAGTTAATTGTTGAACATGTAAAAGAAAGAAAAAAAATTGCAGGGTTAAATGAAATAAAATCCAAACTTTTGGTTGACAGTTTTGGCTCCCATGGCAAAAAGTCAAGATGCTCCTGCCACACAGCTTTTGCATTTTAGCTGATGAAAAGAAGAATTTCTACTTGGATATTACTAACTTTGATATGTTCTAAGTGCATTTGTTCCAAAGCTTCTTAAACATCCGGTTATATACCTGAAAATAAATGCTGATCACTTGTTTCATAATCATCCTTGATTATGAACCAAAATGTTTGTATTTTAGAGCAAAATGAAACTAACTGTCCAGACTTCTCTAATTCTTTTAGAGGGAATGCACATTCAGTGTTCTATGAACCACTTCTTCTTTTCCTTTTTTTACTCCCACTCTCAAGTCTTGACTGAGTTTGCAGTTCTTTTGCCAAAGGCTTTTACCAAAGCAGAAAACCTCTGCAGCAAGAGGCTGTCCTGTCTCGTTAAGACTTTACCTGAACTCACAGTGCGTGTCACGCTCAGCACCGCCATGTGTCCTGGCCTGAACTTGTCGTCGCTGTTCAGCATCATTCACGCCTATGCTGGCCTAAGGTCACACAGAACTCAGCTTTGCTGCTGTCTCTGCAGGGCTGCGGGGGTCTTCTTGGCACAGGAGAGGAGCCAACAAGAACTGCATGCCGCCATCAAAAGGTGCTTTGCCGTAGTCAACAGCTCTGTGTCAGAGGGCATGTCAGCGGCCATCTTGGAGGTAAGTTTTTGCAACGTTATAAGTTAACATCATAGCAATGGTAAGCATATCTGCGAAAAAAATTTTTTTATTTGAGGTGTATTTCTTTCAGTAGTGGCTGTTTTTTCTGCTTTACAACAATATTATCCGGCTAATTCAAGGGCTGTTACCCAAATTAATTGCCTGACTTCAAAATGTCTATTCCTGAGCGAGTCAGCTTCCAAATCCACTTAATCTTCTTTAAACACAGTCAATTAAGACAACCCACAGTGGGCTTAAACTCTTCCTAGCATGTTTGGGTGTTTCAACTCGCAGCCTGCCGGCGGCAATAAAAATCCCTAACTCTGTAAGTGAACCAGAACAAGAGCGGGCCTGACAGATTTCTGTTCGTGCCTCTGCTTTCTCCATAGCCTACTACTAAAAAATGAGCTGGAGTGTTTTTGTCCCAGACTTTGAATAATCTCAGTGAATTCAGATGTCACTGAGAGTCTTTGATTCAAATAGAGAAAATTTATATAGGTTCAAAATATAACCTCTTTTAATCAGATATTTTTTGATCATAAGGTTTTAACTCATGAAAAAAAGTATTTAATGCAGAAGAATAATATTTTACTTCCAGCAATACCTGCTTTAAAATAGGTTTGTGCAGGTGGGGATTTAGGAAATTTGGGGCCCTAAACAAAGACACGCAGGGGGGCCTCTGAATTAAGAAGACACACATAAAACAGACCCATTATACAGATACAGAAATTTTAATAGAATATACATTATTTGTTCTACATATTGTTCCTCTCTTCTTGTCCCTTTTCTTGTTTTCCTCTCTGTTTTATTTTTGTCCCCTTTTCTTTTCATATGTGCTCAGCTGAGTTTTCAAGCTGTCTCAAAATGAAGCAAAGATTTTTATAATCACTGAGCCTATTCTAACTTAGCCGAATCCTCCTTCCGGTGTTTTCAAAAAGGTGATGGCAAAAGTAAATAACACAGTCCTACTGTTCACTGTAGATAAGACATGATCTGCTTATCTTTTCTCCATTTTTCATTTCATTTCAAGATAGAGGAGAGCAGGAGGCGGGGTTACCAATCTACTTGCTCTGGAGAGCAGAGTTTGCTGCTTTTAGATGTTGTTGCCAATGTCTCCAGTAACGAAGAAAAGTTTCTGACCTGCGTGCATGTTGCAGTGAATGCTAATATTCCCCTGTCAGTGCCGCAGACAGGAGGCCTCTAATCGGTCAAATCTATATCCACTCTATGCGTATTTCCTGTTTGGTTCCTTACCGGCTTGTTTTGTTTGTACTGTATGACCGCCATTATGGCAAACGACTCATGAAGTTGCACCAGCTAGAAGAGAGAGGTGCACGAGAACGATGGGACCCTTTTTCCACCTGGATCCCCGCTCTCTTTCGCCCTCATGTCCTTCTGTTGTTACACAAACTTAGCCCCACTTCCACACCGCCTCAGCTGTATCTAGAACCACAGCTAGTTCCTGATTGTCGCTCTTTCGTTGTTGCGTCGAATAACATAGCAAAGACCACCCTTCAATATCAGGAATAAATCAGAAATATCTGCCACAAACTGCTGCGGGAGTATAACCAGCCCTTAAGTCCTGATGGTGCTTAATTAGTGCTTTTTTAGCCTGAAAGGAATTTTTGCACCTAGCCGATCAGCAGAAATGTGGTGATTCTTAATTCAGATCACGAATCCTTCCAAAGCTGGATTTGTAGACCGTTGATGTCAAAGTGCTGCACCGAAAGGCTGACCATTCCTGCTAAGACTGCGTCCTCCTTTGGCCATTTGGAAGGATGGGTCCGAATTATCCTTTGTTGCCCATCATTTCCCATAATTCATTGCAAGTTGCAGCAAAGATGAACAACAATGGCCAAAATTGTGAATATAAATATAAATGATATACTTTCTATGACCCAGCTAACCAGGTAGTCCCCCCTCCCTCTGTGAAGGGGCCTCATTCTGGGCTCACCGCGTTGAAGCTACCACTGGGTTTAACTTATTAGAGTTAAGAACATTACTCATTCAGATAATATTGAAAATTTCATGTCTGGATAATTTAATTCTTTTATTCCTTATTAGATAATTTTGGCTGAAATAAAGGTAAATCTTTAAAACAAGGTATTTTAATAAACTCTTCTTGAGTACATTTATAGATAAATAATTAGCTCATCTTCTGATGCCTCCAGCCACAGTTAAACTGCTGCAGTTCCTGAAGGATTAAATATAAAAAAAATAATCAGAGCAATTAGTCGGAATTCAGCCAAAAAAATCCATTTGTCCTTAATGTGGTGGATTAAAACATTTACTTAATGATCCTAAATCGGATTATTCTTGCCAAATATTTCTATACAAAGGTTGTTTTTTTTCCTCATTCCTTTTGGGCTTCTGTATTTTTCATCAAAACTTAGAATTCTCAAGGCATGTCTGGTTTAATTTTTGACATGTGTCCTATTAATAATGAAAAGTAAGCCCTGTCCATCTAAATAATTAATTCATAGGTTCATAGGTTTCTATCTTTATTGTCATGAGCCCCAGGTTGCTTTTATTTTACTGATGTAAAGACTTGTCATGAAAAATAATGACAGGAAATCTAAAGCTTCTGAGATTTGTTTGTCTTTTCTACAGTAAACGTACAGACAGAGATACAGATAAAATGATGGTTCCTATGGGTCATTAAAATCCTTCAAAACTTTTTCATTTGAACAAATAGGTTCAAGGTCTTTGTAATATTAAAAAAGGCTATAAAAAGACATACATCCTTAAAAGCACTTGAATTACTATTATAATTTTATTTAAGGTGGGAAATATAACAAAATTCTGTTGTCCACATGTCATTATTTTCTGTTTGTTTAGTTCTAGTGTTTCCTGTACGTTTCTACATAACTGTGCATAACAGGACATGCATCAGTGTGCGCAGTCCTCTCACTGGTGAAGGGATGAATTGCCAATTAGGTTAAATTACTCATCAAGGTGGCGTGTAATATCATAGCTGGAAAATGTCAGTCTCAGGATGCATTGCTCGCCATATGTCTCCATAAATTAACATTCAGATTTTTTCACTGGTTCTGTTCATAATTTTTAAGTGTACTAAATAAATAAGGTCTTGCCTTAGAGCAAAGTTAAATATCACCAACACTAAGAACTAAACAACTGAGTTCAGTAGTCTTCCCCATAATGATGTTGATATGTTTAGAATTAGTCTTACAGTGAAGCAAAACCTGTAGTCAGCCATTCATTCAATGCCATTGAAGTTTCACAATCCAATTGAAATGTATATTAGGACTTCAAAAATATTCTTAATGATTCTTTAAGTGGTACCAGGAGGTCAATGGTGCCAAATATATAGCCATAGTTTCTAGTCCACAGAAGTTACAGTGAGATGAGAGCAGGAATGGCTGCTGAAGGCAATAGTTACTCCTCCATCAAAGCTTGAACTCAAAGAACAACCTTCCTTTAGTAGACCAAGTACTTGTCACATCAAATATGTTTTTCTACTTTTTTACGGTTGATATTCATTTGATTTCTGAAGGTGCATCCGGACAGATTATGGTCTCCGTGGTGATTTCCACAAGCACTGCCTGGATTTCACCTGCATTTCAGAGGCAGTGTTCACACCCTATGATGTGCGATTACCCCGTTTTACAATGATGCGAGAAGTCTGTCATTTTAAAGGGGTCATAGAATGCAAAACCAAGTTTCCATTGTCATAGATGAATAACGATAGTTCAGTGGGTGAAATTGACGTACAGAGAAGTTCAAACCCCATCAACATCGCCTTTCTCTGCAAATCTCACAATGCTAAACTTCCACCATAAACGGGCGAATCCAAATGAAGCCCCAAGTTGACGTCAAACCGGGGATGATGGGCCGCTGACTGGACCGGACCGGGCATTCGAACCAAGCCGTGAGCTCCGGTGCTGGTCCAAACCCGGCCCGGTGACAGTAGGCTTCCCCCCGCAGGCAGGGCTATTATGCGTTTTTGCTCAGCAGCTTCGCTCATTGTAAACTAACCAATCAGCGCACAGCTCATCTAAATATTCATGAGAATACCATAAAAGGAAGAAAACATGTCATTTCATTCTGGGGCTTTTAACTAGCCTTCCATTAGACCTCATATAACAGCAGATATGCCCTTTTCAGCCCAACCAATGTTAGACAACCTATTCAGAGACCTTAAGGACCAGCACAAAATACCCTATAGAATCATTCTATGACCCCTTTAAACATAGATGCACTTCAACTATGAGAGACAAAAATGAAAAGATGAAAATTATGTTTATATATTTGTAAATTATGTTGAAAAATAATTATTTAGTCAATAAGAAAAAATCATCTCAAAACTTTGTAGCATAGCCACTGTTAGTGATGACAGAGGTCCAGGTTTGCTCAGACTATAGCAGGTATTTTATTTCATTCTTCCATGCAAATCCCCTCTAGAGCAGTGATATTTTGGGGTCTGTTACTTGGCAACAGACTGTCACCTCCATCCACAAATTTTTTATGGGGTTAAAATCTGGAGACTGGCTCAGCCACTCATTTACTCCTTCGTTACCTAGGCAATGTGATTGGGATCCCTGTCCTGCTGGAAGATCCAGCCAACTTTCATCATCAATGCTCTCATGGATGGTTGGAGGTTTTGGATGAAAATCTTAAAAAAATTCTTCGCTTAACACAGATCAATTGCAGTGCCCTCTATGTAGCATGATGTTCCCACTCCCATGCTAGGCACGGTGTTCCTCTTCCTCAGAACATGACAAATTGAGATTGTGTCAAAATGTTCTAGGTTGGTTTCACCAATCCTCTTCTGGATCTCCGTATGCTGTGGAACGCTTCAGAAGGACCTGGACGGGCTGTTCGGACATGTACTAACTTGAGCAGGCGGACACTTCTGGCACTGCAGGATTTGAGTCTCTCTGGTGGTAGTGTGCTACTAATGGGGGCCTTTGTTACTTTGCCTCCAGCTCGTCATTCATCAGGTCCCTCTGCACACTTCTTGGATTGTTGCTCACTGTTTTCATTTGACACAAAAGGATGAGATTTTTCTGTAGGACCCAAGTTAAAGGGATATTATGATTAATCTGGTATGTTTCCCATTTTCTTCCAATTGCTCCGCGGTTGATTTCGTCTCACCAACCTGCTTGCCTGTTGCAGATTCTTCCCAGCCTGGTGCAAGGCTATACTTTTCATCCTGGTGTTCTTAAACAACTATTTGGTCTTGTCCATGGTTAAAGTGGGATACTGACTGTTTGAGGCTGTGCATAGGTTCCCTTTATACAAGTAACGGGTTCCAACAGGTGCCATGGATACAGATAATGAGTGGAGGACAGACCTGCAACCTCTTTGAGAAGTTGCAGGTCTTTGAGGACCAGTTATCTTGCTTGTTTAGGATTGACCGAGTACTGATTTTCCACCAAAGTTTACAAATGCATTCATTAAAAATAAATTCATAAAAAATCCTATAATGTCATATTCTCGATTTTTTTTTTTTCCTTATTTTGTCCATCATTGTTGAATTGTACCTATGATGAAAATTACAGACTTTTCATCTTTTAAAGTAGGAGAACTTGCACAATCATGGGCTGAATGAATTTTATTTTCCCCTGCTGTATATAATATTCATTTTAGAGATACTTAATTTTGTTTTCTAATACACTGTGATCCATTAATACCAAAGTCAACTGTTCACTGTGTGTAAATGTGTCTCTTAAGTATGAAGGATTTCAACAGAAATAATTTAGTTTTAACTTTTACTGATTTGCTCTTGGTTTGTCTCTGCTTTGCAGGCCATGGATCTCAGAGTACCAGTGCTGGCGAGGGATATACCAGGAAATGCAGCCGTGGTGAAGCACGGAGTCACTGGGCTGCTGTTCTCTTCTCCTCAGGTATCTGCTCCCTGACCAGGTTACTGTTTCCTCTGTGGAAAAAAAAAAGATCAGCAGCACACATACTGTTTAGGAATATAAAGCAGCTACAGCCGCTGAATGCATCATCACTCGCCTAAAGAAATATTTATTGCTTTCTCTCTGTTCTGAAACAGTAATTCACAACAACCAAATATCCCTACGGCTCATTAATAACGTAATTGACTTAACTTTCAGTTCATTAGGTGGTTTTATGGTGAACACATTGATTCTTCTGAGCTCAGAATAAATCAAGAGAATAATTAGACACCGTATCGCCGTATATTGATTAATCACAAAATGTAGCGGCAAACTGGGAAGTGCTAAACAGAAATTTGTTATGAAACCATGCAGCGTGCTGCTTTAATTACGTTTGTTGCGTAGGGAGGATAACATATGCTAAGTGCAGTTGTCAGGGGGCTAAAGCACAGCGCTCTCAAGACGCCATCCTTTGACTCGATTTTGTCATGAATTAAGTCCTCTCTGCGTGTGTCTCCGCTGAACCGAAGCCAGAAAGGCCAGACAGATGGTTGCAACAACTTTGACCGCATAAACTATGACCTCAGCTGGAGCCAATGACCAGTAAATGGCCATCTGTCTGCCATCTTTTAATTCAAGAGCCTTTTTTTTTCTTGTTCTGATTAATTGTATTTCCAGCTTGTAATAACTTATATGTGTCAAAAATATCCCAGTACTTTAAAGCTTTTTAAACTGATAAAGTTTCAGTCAGATGTAAACTAATCATGAGCATTGTTTTTCTTTACATTTGTATTTGGACCTTTTAATTGTGCATTTCTATTATCTAGTTATTTACACCTGTGAGCTAATTATTTAACACACAACTTAATTGAATAAACACAAAATGAAATAAGCAAACATTTTCATGCTTGAATCTATTTATGAACAAAATATTTGGTTTAGGCCTCTTAGCAAATTGTATCCTAGTATTTTTTTGCCTGACTAAAAATCATCCTACACAAATTTTAATTGGATTGAAGTCTGGGCTTTCCAGGAGCTAAATGTTAGCCTGATTTCTCTTTATCTTTTAGAGTAGAGAGCCTTACTGTGTCTAGGTTTTAACTTGGGTTTTAACCAACTTATGATTTCATGCTAAAAAAAAAAGATAAAAAATACATATAGTATTAATCAGGAAGGGTCTAATAACCCTGTTTATCATCATCTATGACATGCTGAAGCTTGTTAGGCAAGTTTAACATGAGGTTTATTACAGCCTCTGTTCCAAGAACCTGTGACACAAAGTTTCTATTGCAGCTGCAGACATGCCACACTAAATACAAAAGATTTGCCACAATGACATCAAAGTGTACTTATAGGAGTAAAGGATGAGGCTTTCAAACCATAGAACGTTGTACCTGTAAACATTGATGATAGAGATGCACCGATCCGATCCTCAGATCGGATATCAGCTCTGATATAATCTTATTTGCTGAATCAGATATCTGTGATTTTATATCGAAGATCCAATCCAGATATAAGAGTTGAGTTGGATCGGTACCAGATATTGCTCAGCCCTGGTATTGGACTGGATTGGAAAAAAACTGGATCGATGCATCTCTAATTGGTAATGGCAGCATTATTCTGTGTGTTTGTTTATTTTTTATACCTTCTGTTGCTGTTTTAATGCACGAAGCGGCTTAAACAAAAGGGAAAAACAACCTATTTCACCTTAAAGCAGCAGCTATGTAGATGGTTCAGTGCTTGATGTTAACCATCGCCCGATAGCCCGGGGCAAGTAGTTTTTATTGTCGGGAGAGTACAAATTTCATTGCATTTGCCCGCCGGGCAAGTGCAATGATTGCAAAAAAAAAAAAAAATTATTTATCACTCAAAATTACTTTAAAATCACCGACATTCGCAAGCGTTGCCGGCGCCATCTTTGTTGTTTTGTACAGATTCTCGCGTGATTTGAAAAAGTTGCGTGATTTTCCACTAGATGGTGTGATTTTTCTCTCCTTGGGGAGAGAATTCTGCAGAGCAGCAGCTGGATGATGAATTTAATCTATACTTTAATACATGCTGGATTAAACAAGATCAGTCAGGGATTAGGAAAATAATAATAATAATAATTGTATGCGCACAGTGTAAATATTTCTATTAAAAAATGTTCATTAAATTTTTTTCTCTAGACATTGGAGTGGTGCATTTAAATGTTATAGAGCTAAACATGTTAAATTGGTGAGTAGTAGCAGTGTAAGTTTTTTACCTGTCAAGTTTTTTTTTAGATTTTTAACATTACAATTTATATTTTTCCCAAGCACACAACAGTTTAAAGCAGTGGTGGCTGGTGAAAAATATTTTTGGTGGGGCTGATATAGCCTAATGTATGTCTCCAACTAATCCAGAATAAGAATTCAAATAAACAATTGGACAATAAATACAATTTAACAGTAATTATTTAATTTACTATATAATAACAGTAACAGTGATGATTTTGGTCACAATAACCATGACATGAATTTTTCATATTCTACAACAGGGATGTTCTTCTGGCAAACGGGTAGATAAATAAGGATCTCACCGAATTTGGTGGAAGCTGCACCTCGCTCGTTACGTTCGCCATCGTCCCTCTAATTGTCTGCACCTGCGCATTGGGTGCAAAAGCCTGTTAAAGGGCAGTATTTTCAGAGCCCCAAGACTATACAATTCTGAGACGCTGATTGGCCATAAAATTAATAAATTGACCTAGCAATCGTACATGATTGGCAGATTCTCTGCACATGTGGGTCTGTCTGATCAGCGCCCCAAGACAGAGACGGTAGGAGTCTGTCTGTGGAAATCCACAAATGAATGACAGTAGATAGGGGAATGTAGTTTATATAATTTGTTTTGCTTATAGTTACACAGTCTAGAGAGTAAAACTGACATTTATGAGTTAATTTGTAAAAATATATTTTACGTTTCTCTCTTCTTATCAGGGAGGGCGGTGCCCCAGCGCCCCCTATGGGCCGGCCGCCAGTGGTTTAAAGCAAGTTTGAAAAGAATGTGCAGGAAGGATTGAAAAGCATGTTAACACGGTAACGTAGGCTTGAGTTCATTATCTGACGCATGCATATACACACCAGGAACCTGGAAACTTACTGAGTTACAAAAAAAACATTTAAAAAACAAACATGTTTCATTGATATATATACAAAAATGAATATTAGGAACTATATTTATCAAACATTATACTGGGCAAGTAAAAATTGTTTCTGGGCAAATGAAATGTGAAAGTCACTTGCCCTTTGGGCAAGTGGTAAAACGTCAATCCCTGTGGTTGAAAGATGGTTCTCAAGTCAAAAGTTTTGGTATAGATAAAGCTCCAACCTCATCTATTAAAAAAAAAAACTGTGGACTATAGTAAAAAGAAACACTCATACCATATATGACCTTCCATGTCCTACTCTTCTATTGGACATTTTACTCGTTGGCTGAACTGAGTGCCGCAGCTGGAGAGAAATCTGTCATTTTGCCAAAGAGAAGAGCAGCTTCCTGCCTGGAGCCTCTTCAGATATGATCACTTCACTCAATGTGAAGAGTTGAACAGAAAGTGTCTTAATCTCTGTGTGCCTGTTGGCTCTGCGCAGCGGTGTTGGCTGCCATGTTGCAATAGCACTTCAAGGCACTTTGACTTCATTTCCTGAAACGCTAGCCGCAGCCTGCTGGGCCAAGAAATGAGCGAGGAGGAATCTGAATGATTGTGTGGATGGAAAACACCTCAATCAAACATCAGTCAAGTTTTTATTATCTTCTCTTCTTCAACAAACGATTAGACAATATTGTTCAGCTGCAACATAAGTATCGTTTGTTGCCACATTTATTTTATAAACAAATTAGAGGTGACAGCCAAAAATAACATACAAAGGTCTGTTGGACATCAATGTTTTCATCTGAACCCACAAATATCTTTTACTTTTGGCAATATACAGAAACTTTTGAAGTATTTACTAATCAGCTCATGGGCTTCAATCATGAATTTTGTTCCCATGCCTGGGATTTTTTGATTTTTTTTTATCCTCATGCTTTAAAGTAATAAATCTCCAAGAAACTTCACTGGAAAGCTTTAATTGGTTCTTGGCAGTAAATGGGTGTGATCTGGGTTTTTATCCTCTCCAGGAATTTGTGCACCAGTCTCGGAGGCTGCTGTCAGATCACGAGCTGAGAGAGAGAGTCGTAAGGAATGGAAAACTCTACGTGGAGGAACATCACAGTGTGAAACAGGAGAGGGAGACGTATAAGAAACTGTTGGACATGCTGCACAAGGCCTAGTTTACAGCATTACTAGATACTTTCTCAGGAACTTCAGCTGCAATATATATATATATATATATTTGTACATTATCTGTACTCATTTAATATTTTAATTCTTCTATTCATTTAAATAAAGATATATTTTTAACCAAAGAACAGTGAACCAAAGACATTAATGTTTTTAAAGATGTCACGTAATATATTTGATGCCTGTGAAAAAACTGCCAGTAAACTGTCATGTATATAACTATAGATGTATTGTAAGTAGACTCTGTAAAACAAGTTTACATTAAGAAAACTATAAACATATGGTAAATAAAAGTAAAGAAAACTTTCCTGATTTTTTTTTTTCCTTTGTTCAGTGATGTGAAAATGATTGATAATTGAATAGTTTCTAATTCCAGTGAGACAAAAAGTTATGCTTACCAACTCATTCATTTTTAATGAAGTGCAGCAAATAGGTTTTCCGGATTCAGAAACACAGCAAAATCTCAATTAGTTTAAAGGGCAGAGGGGAAAATGAGATCCTTCCAGTTTACTGTACAAAGGTTGGATTTAGCAGCTGCCCGAGGCTGGGATGAGTAGAAAGAGGAAACACAACCAGATATGACATACAGTGGCTCCCAAAAGAGGACATAAACCTGCTGAAATGCTGTTTTTTTACGTAATGTTAAAGAAGACTTTTTAATTTGACTATATTCAAAATATTTAGAGGACAAATAAAGAAAAAAAAGGCTATTTGCAGGTCAGAAGATAAAAATAAAAAAAATTCTACATCATATATAAGGTATTTATGACAGATTGTGGTTATAAGTTATTGTATGGGACAACAGATACATTATAGAAAATATTTCTCCCAAGTTCATGAACAGAAAGGACCGATATTTTAAACGGAAGTTGAGGAGAAAGACATTGGTGGTACATTCTGATGAATTATTTTACTAAATGTTATCTCCTGTATTCTCCATGCATTATAGTGATTCACAACATTATTTATTTGAAAAGAAAACCTTCAGGTCCAGCTCAAACTTATGACATAAAGGCAGAAAAATGTTGTCTGCTCTAATGGAACCCAATGTAAACTTTTGGCTTATAATTTCTATTTTAATCCATTTAGTATAGCTGTTCTGCTGCCATCAACACCCTTGTTTATAGATGTTCGAGATTGGCCTGTTTTTCAGTGTAGTCTTCTTTCTCTTACTGTGACTAACTGGATGTGCTCTCTTCATCCTCTGACATGGGAGCTGGCTCGGAGCTCGTCTGCCTGGCTGTGTTTCCTGGACGGGGCCGCCTTTTACAGTTGATGTCTGTATCTCTGCTTCTGTCTCCTTGAACCCCAGTCGGCCTCAGCAGATGGCCGCTCACACTGAGCCTGGTTCTGCTGGAGGTTTCTTCTTGTTAAAAGGGAGTTTTTGCTCTCCACTGTCGCTACAAGCATGCTTAGTGTGAGGGATTGCCTTCGAGTCAATGAGTTGATGCAACCAACTGTTTTTCCTTAGATATAAAACTTTGAATCAATTTGACTGTATGGTCTGGTGAACTGTAAAGTGCTTTGAGATTACTTGTTGTGAATTGGCGCTATTTAAACTAAATTGAATTGATTCTGTCAATTTAGATGAATTTATAGGGTAGTTTTTTGATATACCAGTTAGTTTTGACCCAAAACATTCAGATTAATGCCCAATCTAAAGTTTAAGACTGTTTCTATATTTCAGCATCAATGTGAGGGCAAGCATAAGTCGAAATCAACAAACAATGCATTTATCTATGGAAAATGTAAGTTTGATATTAGCCTGAGAAGATTTCAAAACCAGATCTCCAGAAGCCACCTGAGGAGGTCTGAACTGATAAGATTTGAAAGGCCTCTTCAAGAGCAAATACTGCAAGTCAAAATGTGGGATGCTGGCAGACTTCTAACAAAAAAGAAAGAATGGTCGTGGCCAAAAATCATCCACTAAATGATTTAAGAAAGAAATAATATACATGTGGGTAATAAGGGAGCACATTTTGATATTTTACCTTCATAATAAACTGTTAGAACATGTGTGAAAGGTTTTCAGAATGGTTGATCATGGTGTTTATTTTTAACATCACATCAACCCGGCATTTTAAGTTTACACCTTTGAGAACCACTGTGCTCCCTAAGAAATGCTCTGAAAGACCATAGTGTTGATTAAAAATGAGGTTAGATAACATTTCAAATGCTTCTATTTTAGGTTTTAATTTAAAGTCATTTATGTTTCTCTACCATATTGAATGAAAGCCTTTTTTTAATTGATAAAAATGTTTGGCTAAGCTCCATATTATGGGTGTTACTTTACATGTTTGCATTTGGTTTTTTTTGTTTTTTTTCCCCATTTTATGAAATGTTTCAGTGTCTGTAGAGTTTTCCACAGATATCCTCATGCAGCAATAACATGTGGTTTTAAATACTGGGTATACAATAAAGCATCTGCTTAGTCATCTGTGGCATTATTACACAATATTCATTGTCTTATTTTAAGTATATACACTATACATTACATATACATGTAAAAGGCCTTAATGGAAAATGAAATGTCAAATAGGCCTTATACAAAATCCCATTTTCCTGACAAAGGCATTGAGGTGATCGAAGCCACGGCTGCTGTGCATGTGAAGTCTCATTATGTTCTGTGTTATAACTGGTCCCCAGGCTTTATGATGGGCACTTGAGGTTCCGCGCCAGTACACTCTTCCTTTCCCACCCAGTGAATGCCGTGGCCATTTTCCTTGGGTGAGAGATGTGGCGAATGTTGGCGTTCCAGTGTGGAGAACGTGGTGAACTGAACTCTCTTTCTCTTGCTGGTGGGCGAGTGGAGGGACTCACTTTGTATGGGTTTGGTCCTGTGGGAGCTGTCACAACGGAGAGGAGATTCTGCTGCAGAGGTTAGGCAACTTGGCCTTCTAGAAAGAGACCCAGTCTTGTCAGGCCCAATGTCAATCACAGTGGTTGCTGTATGGGAGTCTGGCTGGACTGGACTGCATGGCACTGTCATCACAAGCTCAGCGTCTGTGCCTAGCCAGACCCAGTCATGCCTGTGCCCTGTTGGCTCCTGGCCATGAGAGGGAGGCTTCTTATGCCTGAATTTAACAACATATGATACACAATTCACTAGAAAAACTAAAATGGCAAGACAAAAAACACCAAGCAATGCATACATGCCAATCTCCAAGTCTGTGAGAGGCCGGTTGGCCAAAGCTTCTTCACCACTTTCTACTTCTGGCATTTCGGGTCCTGGGCTCTCTACCTTTGTGGGGAAATTGTTGTAGTTCACCAGATTCCCAGGAGCTTTGACAGTGCTGGTAAGGCTAACACTGCTCATATCCTCCACTATCATATTTTCTGAGCTATACCCTTTGCTGCTGTCTCCAGGACTGCTCATTAGGCTGACATTTACTACGTTGGATGGGCTGACAACATTACCGGGCCTTCTCGTCCTACCCACTCCTCCTAGACTGCCACTGGTTATAATGGTTTTTTCTGTAGATTTGATGGTGGTTGGGACTTTCTGAATGGCACTCTCCTCTTTGTTGGAGTTGGGGATACTTGAAGTAAGAAACTGAGATGGTTTCTTTTCACTGTCTAATTCTTCCCCATCATTTCCATAGTCATTGTTGCTGTCCTTGCTTCCAACAGAGCTTCGGTCAGTGCTGCGGGTACTGCCACCAGGCCGCCGAGTGTTGGCCTGAAACTTGACCTTAAGGCTGCCATTGCCCACAGCCACTGTACTTTTGCGTTTCGACTTTTGGCAGGACTCACAGATGGACATTTCTACTCTAACTAAGACTCCTTCGCCCTCTCCCTCAGCCACTACTACAGGAGGTTTTCCCTGCACTGACACCACTCCTTGATCCAGGGATGTAACTGTCAGTCGGAAGTTTGATGGATCATAGATGTCAAGAGGTGTCTGATTGCCATCGCTGAATTGGACCCAGGAACTGACCAAAGCTTCCTAAAAAAAAAAAAAAAAAAAAAAAGTAAAAGATAGAACTTGTGATAACCTAAAAGCTTTTTTTTTTCCTGAGGAGCATTAAAATAAACTATAGAATAGTACCTGCTTGGGACTTTGTAGAACCTCTTGTGTGGCTGTTGTAGCCAAGATCGCCCTGCTACTTCCTGAACTACGTTGTAACGTCATGGAGAGTCCAGAAACCACTTGGACACCTAACTCTGTGATGCTCACTTTCTCATCCACAACTTTGACTGTTGTCTTTGCCAGGATAACATCAGACAGTGGAGAAAAAACCTATCACAATATAAGACAAAATAGAAAGAAAAGTCAGATTGCATCTTTATTTAAAAAAGGATTTACGAATTAAACATAAACCAGTTCCTACGACATGCTGCTTGGAAAATTTGTCACTGGCCCATAAAAAAACAGCTGATACCTGAATGTTTGTGGTCCCAAAGTCTTTTCCTGCTAGTACCCTTCCTTCCTGAAGTCTTACAATTCGAGGGTCCTCGACCTTCATGAAGTATCGAACCAACCTTGTAATATCCACCTGCCAATCAGACCCAAGGAAATACGCTGTAGGGTCCCGTGGGTCTTCCTGCTCTGCGACAAAATGGGTCAGAACCCGCACAAGTGCGTGCTGAAGCTGGAGCATGCAGCCTTTGCCCTTCCTTTCAGCCTCGTCACTGTTCCAACCAGATCTGAGGTAGAGACATGCAAACTCATGTTAGGATCCTGCCTATTACTTCCTGAAACTCCGGCTTAAATGATCTAACCCTGCTTCTTTGCTTGATTGGATTAAACTTTTATTGCTTGGCTCTTGATGTTGAAATCCTGTGTCTATGTAGAAACCAAACAAGTTTGTTTGGCTTAATGTTATACACAAATTTCTCACCTTTTCGAGGTCAAAATAGGAACTCTCCAGCTTTTGATTTGGCTCAGTTCTGAGTCTGACAACTCAATCTGCAGAGGGAGTCGAGGCATCCACACATTCAGTTCGAGCTGAGCACTCAGATAGCTGTAGGTGAAGTTTACTGTCATCTTCACCTTCCCTTTGGTCTCCTTGCCATTCACATAAACATAGTCACACCTGTCAGACACCTGGATGGAAAATGAGATAACGTAGGAAACGATTTATCAGAGCACGCATATCAATTTGATCACCCGTCTACCACCATGACTCTGTGCTAGTAGTAGTATGTTAACCACCTCTATCAAATCTGGAGCAAATTTGTTGTCCATGAAGGACTTGTTTGTCATCTATCCAATGACAAAAAATAATTAAATATTCCCATAAAAGTCACTGTTTATACAAACAGGCCGTTCCCACGACAACAAATGGGCTTGCAGCAGTTTTGCTCTGCATGCTACCACAGTAATGTCAGCTGGCTGTAATAAACTACTGCGATGATCACCAGTCTGCAGCTTTAGGAGGAGGTAGCATTGCAATTTTATGTTAATTCAAATATCTTGCAGTGTAGAGCTAATATCAGTCCTCTACCCGCTTAGTGCATCCATTGCATCTTAATCTCAAAGCAACCTTTGCAGCTTTTCTCAGTTGCTCACGGATCTTATGGACATTTTGAAACAGTTGTCAGGAGTCTTATTTCATCTTCTTTGCAGGCTCTTCTCTTCTTTCAATGAATCAGATGATTACTTCTCTTACTGATGCCAATGGTGGTAAATGGGATGCCTTCATTTGTATTCTGAAGACCCTTTATAGGAAGATTAATTTGCAAGTAAAATGTGAATAATGAAACTTTCTGCACTCCTCAATTTAGTTACAAAAATAATGTAAAATAATGTTATAAAGTTACAATAACACATAATAATGGTAACAACATTTTCATACATTTCTAACCTAAAAAAAATATTGGACGTGGTGAAAATGACCACATACTCACTGAGCTCCAAGATTTTTAATAAAATATGAATTTAAGTTAAATCTTTTGAAATTGTTCACAAAAATGATAAGCCAGGAGTAACAATGGTATTAATGTAAGCAGCAAAACCATAAGAGTTTCATACCATAAAGGGAAAAATAGTTCAATGTAGTAGAATAAAATAAAATATAACAACTTTTTTTATCAAAATGAACTTCTGACATTTGAATCGGTGGTTATGTATTTAAAGGCTGGTAAGATTAGAGATTTGGTCTTAGTGGAATATAGTTAGAATATCAAAGGGTATCTATTTTACATAAAGACACCTGCATAGATATTGCAAAAACAATCAAATGCAATTTGTTGCAAAGCTAGCACATGAACAAAATGTATTGCTACTATTTAGAGAAAATTAAAGTGCCTTTATGATAGACAGTTTTAAGCAAGCTTAGAGTTGTTTGCAAAAAAGCAAAAACAATTACTGATGTAGAATTTTAAAAAAAGATGTAAAAAAAAACTAGTCAATTAACCTGTCAGAATTCAATAAATACTTTATTCAATACTGCTGCACCTTTTGTAACACTTGTAGTTTAATTACATGAAGTGTTGGTGAACAATTTCATGGTCAGCACTGGTTAACCTTCATATACAAATTGGTACTTATGAAGAAGCTCTTCGTTTCAGAAAGGTTATTGATCTGTGATTTAGAGCTTAAATAAAAATATTCAAATAATTTAACTCATTTCATTTGTATAGCGCCAAAACACAACATGTCATCACAAGTCACTTTACAGAGACAAATGCATCAAATCATAGAGACGGATGGGTTAAACATTTTTCTAGGGAAACTCAGGTGTACGTTTGTTGTGAGTCATCAACTTTGATTCATTTGCTCCTCCTGAATGAGCCTGTAGCAACATTCACTTGCATTGTGTTGTTGACTCTACTAAACATGCATGTAGTGACAGTGCAGAGGAAAAACTACCTTTTAACAGGAAGTAAATAAAAATAAGAGTGGGAAATTTTACATCACAAGCTATTCCCTGGTCAAAGTTATCCCAAAAGTCCCACAAAAAAAAAGGAAATGTGTAAGATATACCACTTATAGGCTTCAACCTCGCTCTTTCATTATCAAGTAGCGTGGCAAGTCCTTCTTTACACTGCAAAAACAATCTATAATAGGTAATAAAAATTCTTAAATTTAGTGCATTTAGCCTTCATTTGAGCAGGTAAAGAAGACTATTTGCCAATGGAATGAGTATGTTTACTCTTGAAATAAGATAATTATATAATATGCACTTGAACTAATGATGATGCAGTTGTTTTCTCTTATTTTAAATGCCAATTGTCTTGATCCATTCAGGAAGTGTCTCACTTTTCTCCTCAAATCAAGAAAAAATTGACTTATTTTAAGGAAAAATTACTAATTGAGATTTCATTATTATGCAGTGTAAACTAAAGGTGTCAAAGACAAAACATACGATTGAAATGCAATACAGTATATATAAAGCGGGTCACATCCTATAAAGGTCATCGTATGGACTGTATTTACTTACAAGTGTTTCTGGAACAATATATTCTTAAAAAATTAGACCATTGAGCTTTTTAATAAAAATGGCTCCCCTGACCCTTATGTTTAAGAGGCTTTCTTGAAGCAAGTGCAACTTTTTCATTAGACTTTTATTATATTTCTCCTATTCTTCCTCTCTATATGATTTGTTAAATCAGCAGTAAACTACTCAATGTAAATGTAAATGTATAGAGGACAATCTTTTATTTCTGGGTGGATCATCTAAATAAGTGGTCCTCCTAATTGCCAATCATTCTGGTGATATGTTTACTTAAGGCTGACCTGTGTGCTCACCTCGTTAGCTATCTTTTTCTGCATATGCGCTCTTTCAGGCATATAACTGTGGTGAGCTACAGTTTCAGACAGTCATTGAAGCTCACCTTTCTCTTTTAAAATAGCAAAGGGTCGTATGAGAAGAAAAGAAAGGCCTCTGAAGAAGCAGATATATCCCAGAATGCTTCATCCAGAGAGCTCTCCGCGCAAAGCATTCTGGGATTTGCTGTCACAGTGGTCCACAGTCGCCATTAGCTGTAGCTACCTGACAGCGTAGACCCGCGGTTCTCAAAGTGTGTGGCGCGACCCACTGGTGGGGAATTGAGACGTGACAGGTGGGGCGCGCCAAGTTCCGGTGTGTGTGTGTGTGTGTGTGTGTGTGACTATAAATGTAGAACGTGTGAGAGCAAACTGTCCTTATAGCTGTATGTTGCCGCTTTTTAGACCAATCAAACCCACAAAGTAATCATTACTAGCCTACATGCAGTCTAATTAAAAGAACATTAGATATGAGAAACATTTCACCTGGAACTGAAGTGCCAAAATAATTATTGACGTGACGTCGGCATATTATTTGTAACGGAATAAACTTTCGCGCCCCAGTGTTGCCAACTCAGCGACTTTGTCGCTATATTTCAGACCCCTCCAGCGACTCTTTTTCAAAAAAGCGACTAGCGACAAATCTAGCGACTTTTGGAGACTCTTACGTGAAAGCACGTATCGTTCCTTTTCTTGTCCTCCAGCGGCAGGTGCTGCCGTGGGGCGCCTCCGTCCCAACCCCCGTTCTCCCCCGCTATCGCAGGAGTCCCTCTCAGCGCTGCAGTCAGAGCAGAGACACAGCATGTTTAACTTTAGCGTCCAGACTGCAAATAAAGCGCACATGCGCCGGGATTGACGGCGCAGGTTGATCATAAATAACTGAATTTGAAATATTTTATTAGTTTATTATGCAATGAAAAATAAAGTAAGTCTATTTTTTCCTATTCTGTCTGCAGCACCTGCTGATTTTAGGTCTGCTGAGGAGGACCAGTTTATTGAAATGACGTCTGACTCCACCCTGAAGCTCAGGTTTAATGCTCAGACTAATAGTGAATTCTGGTTAGGAGTGGAGAGGGAGTATCCACTCATCGGGCAGAGAGCTGTGTGCATTCTTCTTCCCTTTGCCACATCATATCTCTGTGAGATGGGCTTTTCAGCTGTTGCTTCAATGAAAACAAAATACAGATCTCAGCTGAACATTGAGCATGACTTGAGAGTGGCAGTATCAAGCCTGCAACCCCGTTTTGAGAAACTGTGCAATGCAAAACAGGCTCATTGCAGCCACTAATGCAGGGATAAATAGAACTGTCTTGCCAGATGGATTTCACTTCTTTTCTTTTATTAACAGATTGCAGAGTGGCACTTTAATTTTTTCTATCTTTGAGCTTGATACAAATTTTGACACAGCTGCATTTTTATTTTCTTTATTTTTTAGCTTGCTGTTATTTGATGTAGATAGTTTGTATTTAGATACTACTTGTTACTTCAGTAAAATTGGAACATTTTAAGATTGTTGCATATTTCATTAGCATTGTGTTGGGGCGATGGGGACAGGCGGGGCTTGAAAATTCCCCCTTGTCCAAAGTGGGGAATGACAGAAAAAGTTTGAGAACCACTGGCGTAGACTAATAAAGATGGCAAAGACACAGTGGAGGAGGAGTTACGTGACCAACGGGGAGCAAAAAAGCAGTGATCATCTGTCCAAATGATCAGCTAACTGATTTTGCTGAAAAAGTCCGCTATACAGTACAGTCCCCACTGTATTTGGACACAGTAAGCTTGTATGAGTTATAAGAACAGCACATTTTAAAAAGTGCGTGTATGAGGAGAAATGGGCTTGTGCATGCTCTTTCAAATGCATTTTGATCATGGCTCCACAACACCTTTAAGTTTAACAGCCTAAATGTTAAAAAAAAAGCTGTTCATCCAATACTGCATGTATATTAAATAAAATCACCTTTAAACTAAAAGAAGGTTAACTAACCTCACTTAGATGGAAGAGCAGTCAAAGAAAATATCTTCAGACATCTTCTGTACATTTTTTTTTGCTGAAACTAAAACTTTGGAATCAAACCGCAATACATGACTAACTTCTGATAAATTGTTCAGTGATGATACAAGTTGTATTTTTCTTTATCTTTTTATCTAAACAAGCCATAAAAACAGGGAAAAAATGAATAGTTTTGTGTTATAGTTTGTACAATCCTGCCCCACTATTACCTATCTGACTTTTTGTTTCAGTGATGTGGAAAGAAACGATGCAACAGCAAAATTATCCTCTGTTGACACTTTATTACACATTTGACTTTGGAAGCTGCACAGTTAGATCACCAGAT